TAGGAAAGTTTAGTCTGGAGAAGAGAAGACTTGGGGGAATATCAGATGCTTACTAGCTGTATGACCTTGAGAGAGTCATTGAACATCTCTGAGCCTCAGTTTCCTCATCTAATATCCCTTCCCACTCTAAATCTATGATCTTTGGTTCTTTTTTCATTTACCTGTTTTGTCATGTTGGCCAGTGTCATAGGTGTGATGTGGTACTCATCTTTGGTTCTTATGAAGGCCAGCTATGTGGAAGAGGATGTAATTTATTCAGGTTGCCTTCTAGAAGTAGCTAGAAGCGATAGCAAGGGCAGAAGCAAGGGGTGGGGTGGGGAGAATCAAAAAATATGTAAATCTTAGCTGAATGGAAGGAAATGATTACAGCTGTCCTAAAGCATAGTGGACTGACTTGGAAGGTCATGAGTTTCCCAAAACCAGAGGTCTTCAAGCAGGAGCCGGATCGTGATTTGTGGAGGCTGTTGTAGAGAGATTCCTTGTGTGGGATGGGTTAGACTAGAAGCCCAGGGAGGTCCCTTCTGGCTTTGAAATTCTGGGATTTCATGTGACAAGCCTAGGGTAAGAGTCTAACATGATTGTAAGGGGAAAACCCCTGGATTAGGAGGCAGAGGAACTGGGTCTGGGCCTGGCCTCTGATGCTCACTCTGTTACCTTGGGCAGATCGATCTGTCTCTGGTCCTCAGATTCCTTATTTGCAAAATGACAGGAATGTGAGTACTACTTACCTCAACAGGTTGTAGTGAAGAAAACACTTTAAACTTTAAAATACTATGTCAATGTGGCCTGCTGTCATTACCCAGGCTTCCTCAAGTTGTGGGCCCCTTGAGAGCCATCCCAAGCTCAAGCCAGGTTCAGCACCCACTTAAAGTTGTGGCTTATGAGCCCCCATTCCCCGTGCTTCCTTGCCAGACCAACCAGAGGACACACAAAAATTAATTAAATTGTATAGCAGAATAAATGACAAGGGAAAATTCCCTCATACCCACAGGGGTACATTCTGCCCCAGATTTCCATACCACTGGATTGGGAGAGAAAATATATATGGGTAATGTGTGTGGCTAGGAAATATGTAAGGGAAAATACACATATGGGGAAATGTAGTCAGAGAAACTCATATTCTTAGAGAAGCTTTTTAGCTGGGACTCCTCTCCACTTTGGACACTAACGCTTGCTGCTACAGACCTGTAGGTTTCTTATCCTTAGGATGTTAACAGAGGACCAGAGAAGCAAAGAGGAGAAAGAAGGACATTGTGTGAGGGGAGCCAGACTCCTCCCCCTTCTAAGCCTTCCTTGGGAAGGTAGGGAGAGGTTCTAGGAAGGACAGTGGCTGCATACTTGTTCCAAGTAAGAGAAAATCCAGCCAAATCTAAAATAGAGTGGTTGTCAAGTTGGACTTGAGCAAATCACTTGGGCAGGCTTCCCATATGCAAAATGAAGGGGTTTTACTACACCAAGAATTCTTAGCTGGGGTCCATGGATACCTGTGTGGTCAGTGGATAGGTTTCAAGGGGTCCATGAGCTTAGATAGGAAAAAAATATATCTCTGTTTTTACTAACCTCTACTTGAAATTTAACAGCATCTTCATTTATTTAAAAGGACCAGAGGGGTCCCCTGAGAAAGGGTCTATTGGCTTAACTGGACTACGAAAGGGGTGCGCGAAACAAAAAAATGCTAAGTATCCCTGCACTAGACAATCTGTAGGCCCTTTCTAATTCTTAGGTTCATAGCATTTAGCACTGGAAAGCGTGTTACATATTATGATACAGTAGACAGAGCTCCAAACATGGAGTCAGAAAGACCTGAGGTCAAATCTGTCTTCTGACACTAGTTGCCTGAGCAAGGCAGTTAACCTATTTAACTCAGTGTTTTCATCTGTAAAGTGGAGATTATAATAGCACCTACGTCCCAGGACTGTTGTAAGGATCAAATGATGTAATAATAGTAATAAAAGCCCTTAGCAGAGTGCCTGGCACAGAGTAGATGTTATATAAAGTAGCTATTATTATTACATGATGTTGTTCAAACCCCTCATTTTATAGGTAAGAAAACTAAGGCCCAAAGAGACGAAGTTATGTGCCAAGATAGTAAGTAGCACAGAGGGGATTTGAACTCAGCTCCTCTAAATCCAATCCAGTACCTTATCCACTAGTTTAAGCACTGCTTGCTGGCTTAAGGCAGGAGGAGTCTGGGTAACTTGATCAGTTTCTTGAAGCTTTGTTGACCCAAGCCATGACTATGCATGGTATCGCTAAGCCACAGAGCTGATATCAGTTACAAGAAGGGCAGGAAACCACTGGGAGAATGAAAAGGATACTCTGGAGTTCCTGGTCTTTCTCTCCTTCCCCTCCTGTCTAGTCAGAAAGGAGACTTCAGTGAAGGGAGCCAGACCTTCTAAGCCTTCCTTAGGAAAGTAGGGAGAGATGCTATGAAGGACAGTGGCTGGGAACTTGTTCCAAGTAAGAGTGTGTCTTGTAGAAACAGACTTCTCAGGTCCAGTCTCTCCTCCCCCAGTCTAAGGTCAAGAACTAGGAGACCTTAGGCTACCAGGCAGTCCCTGGAGATTCTAGCCTTAAATAGCTTTTCTTGTTCAGGCTGTGAGTTCCTTTTTGGGACAGCCCAGACCTGCTCTTCAATCCTTCTCAGAGCAACCTTGACCCTGAGTTTGCTCCTTCTCCCTCCCCTCTAGACCATGAGGTTCAAGAAGGCTGAGCCTGGATCGTTTCCTCTTATTTCCATTGCCTATAAAGTTCCAAAGGCTACATTAGTCACTGAGTGTGTTCTTCCTGTCTCTCCCTTATTATAGATTATATAATGTCAGCACTAAAAGGGAACGTAAATCATACTCTTTCAGGAAGACATGGTGGTACATACTTGTAATCCCTGCTAAGAGGGAGACTGAGGCTGGTAGATCTCCTGAGCTTAGGAGTTCTAAGCTGCAGTGGGCTAAGCCAGGGGTCTGCACCAAGCATATGAGAGGGGGGGCCCAGGTCAGAAACCAGTCAAATGGGATTGGAAAAAGGAAGGCGGGAAGGAGGAAGGTAGGAAGGAAGGAAGGAAGGAAGGAAGGAAGGAAGGAAGGAAGGAAGGAAGGAAGGAAGGAAGGAAGGAAGGAAGGAAAAGAAACAAAGGAGGGAGGAAAGAAAGGAAGGAAAAGAAACAAAGGAGGGAGGAAAGAAAGGAAGGAAGATGATTTTCAGACTTGGAAGAGACTTTCTCATCTAATCCAGAAGTTCTTAATCCATGGTTATGAACTTGTTTGTTTTAAAAAAAAATTTTTTTTGACAAATGTATTTCAATATAATTGGTTTTCTTTGTAATCTTGTGTATTTTATTTTGTGCATTTAAAATGATGTTTTGAGAAGGGGTGCAAAGGCTTCACCAGACTGCCAAAGAGGTCAATAATACAAAATAGGTTGAGAACCGCAGCTCTAATTCAATCTCCTCATTTTACAGATGGAGAAACTGAGACCAAAGGAGCTGAAGTGATTTGTCCAATGTCATATGGCTAGGGAAATAGACCCAAATTGGTTACCAGGTGGGATTTGGATTCCCAAGTCTTTGAGTCCCCAGGGATGGATGGACCCATATCTCACCTGCTATATTGGGGTCCCAGTCTCTGTACCAGGGCTGTAACTCCTCATTTTTTGGGCTGCCCAAACCCTGAGAACAAAGAGAAAGAATGTATTTTCCCTTGCCTCTGGCTTCCCTGTCCCCAAATATCTAAGCAGGGGCTGGTCCATATTCATGTTAAATATAGACATAACTGGTGTACAATTCTGCTCTTCCCTCCTTCCCTTTTTCCTTCCCTCATGCCCAACTCAGATAAGCCACCCCTTTGTGCTGTGCTGTCTTATACAAGAAACTTTCGTGGTAGTCTACTTGTAGACTGATTGCCAATCTCCCTTCTGAGCCTGGGACTACCCTTCTCTGCCTCCTCCCGGTAAGCTTGGGACCTTGTCCACGGCTCCCTACCCCTTCCAGCCTGTCACCCATAGCACCCTCCCTTTCCAGCCTGGGACCTGAAACCACCCTTCATCCCAGGCTGAAGCCTTCTGTAGAACCTTAAAACCCAGGGTCTCTTTGAGAGAAATGATTCTGCCCATTTCCCCTGAAATTCATGGCAGGGGGAGATAAGGAGAGGAGATACCAAGACCTCTTCCTAAGACGACCTATAAATTGTCTGTGTCTTCCCCAATCCTTTTCTCCCTGAAATTCTGTCCTTGCTTTGCATCTGCATGAAGCATTGGCCTGTTATGGGATGGGCAGGGCAGGGCCCTCTCATCTGAGGGGCAGAAGGTCCCTCCTAGGGGAGGCTGTTTGTTGGGGGCGTAAATCGGAGAAGATGGCCTCAGGAACAAGGAAGCCAGATTGGGGAGGGGTAGGCTTTCTCTCTCTTCCTCTGGGTTCCTGTGTGAACCACACAGGGTATGAGGGGGTGACAAGAGGAAGTATTATAGCATAATAACAACAAAAAGAATGCTTTTTTTGGAGCCAGGAGGCCTGCCTGCCAGTCCTGACTCTTCCTTCCAATAACTTGCTATATCACTTTACAGGTCCCTCCTCCTGTCTCAGCCTGAGTTTCTTCAACTATTCTTACAGGAGACAGTTCTCAAAGTTTTTAAACCGTCTTTGTTGCCCCTTCTCTGTATGCTCCCTGCTTGTTGATAATCTTCCTGAAATGTAGCATCTGAGAAATTTGATAACAAATATTTATTAAGCAAGGCATTGTTCTAAGTGATGGGGATAGGAAGAAGAAAACCAAATGTCTCTTCCTTTAAGGAGCTTACAGTCTACTTCTCTGCAGGTAGTACTCTTTAAGAAAGAAATCCTCAGGGTAAGAGTGTCTGGGGATCAGCTCCCTAAATGTTAGTATCCCTATGACACCCAAATAATTGAGAAGAGGCTGAGTTATTAACCATGGCTGGGTTAATTGGGAAGGAATGAATAGGTATCTCCTGGGCTCTCTAATGACCAGGGCTCTTCTATTTGTTCCCAGACTCCTTTGAGGCTCCTAGAACACTTCTGTCAAGCATGGGGGACCAGAAGCAGGAGCAGAGAAGTTCGCCTGGCAAGGACTCTCTGACCCAGAATTGTGGCCAGAAGATTGATGAGTCTTCCAACTTGAGTCCCAGGAAGGAAAAGAATGACCATCTGGGGCTGGGAAACTTCAAGAGGGCCTTGTCATGGAAGATCAAACCTGATGTGGAATCTGGGGACCACGTGGTGGAGAAGAGAACGGTCCTCAGGAGTTCACGTTCCCTCCTCAACTCCTTCCGAAAGGTGGTGGAGAAAGAGGCAGACAGGTCTCAGAAGCCATCCAGTGGTCCTCAGATGAGACAGCAGGTGTCCTCTGAAACAGAGGCTCTGAAGGAGGAGGAGTCTGAAGCAGGTGAGGCAAGCAATTAGGTCTGACCTGGCCAAGGCTTTCCCCACCTCCCACTTAACAGTATTTCATTTTTTTTTTCAATTGCATATAAAGATAGTTTTCAACATTCACTTTTATAAGATTTTGAGTTCTAATTTTTTTCTCCCTCCCCAAGACAGTATGCAATCTGATATAGGTTATACATGTACAATTATATTAAACATATTTTCACATTAGTTGTCTTATGAAAGAAGAATCAGAACAAAAGGGAAAAAAATGAGAAAGAAAAAATAAAGAAAAAGTCTGCTTCAATCTGTATTCAGACTCCATAGTTCTTTCTCTGGATGTGGACAGCATTTTCCATCATGAGTCTTTTGAAAGTGTCTTAAGTCATTGTATTGCTGAGAAGAGCTAAGTCTATCAAAATCGACCATCTCACAATGTTGCTGTTACTATGTAAGATGTTCTTCTGGTTCTGCTAACTTCACTCAGCATCAGTTCATATAAGTCTTTCCAAGTTTTTCTGAACTCTCTGGCCAAAGCTTTTAGAGCTGACAAGTTATAATCATGACATATTATAAATTTGCATAACATTTTATAATTTGTAAAGCACTTTAAAAATAAATATACTTTATATACCATACAATGCTTTAGCATCTATAAAACTTTACATACAGTTTACAAGGTATTTTGTGATTTATAAAGTTTTTCTTAACAAAGTATTTTTAGTTTATTAAATACTTTATAGTTTTGAAGATGTTTTGCCACTTATAAAGGGTTTTACAGTTTGCCAAGAAATTCATTGTTTGTAAGCACTTTGTGGCTTACAGAACTTTTATTAGTTACCCTGATTTCTACCATTTACTAGTTTCACAGCTTTATAAAGCACTTTACTGTTTACAATTTGAAATATGTCACAATTTACAGATCATTTTCCATTTTAAAAGGTATCATTTTATTTCTTATTCCTAAATGTCTACAATGGGATTTGGAGTTTATAAATCACTTCACTATTTATAAAGCATTTTACAGGCTGTAGAATGCTTTCTGACCCATCATCTCGTTGGATTCTCTTAACATCCTCCCCTTAGTCAGGGCACATCATTGTCTTTGAAATTCTCCCCTTTAAGAACTTTTGGAGTGGGGAAAAAAACCCAACAACAACCTTAGTTCTGATTAGTTTAACTGAGACAATATAGCAATAGGAACAGGACCTCTATTTCAGAAAATTCTTGGGTTAGGCAATTCCTTCTCCCAATACAGGTTAGCATCTTTTCTGCTTGTCTTAGAGACTACATTGCCTTGAGAACTTAGAGGTCACATGACTTGCCCAGGGTCAGGATTTTTCAGAGCTATCCATTAGAAAGCAAAGAATAGGGATAGAAAAAGATTCCTAAGCCTTAGATTCCATTGGTATCAGTGGCTAATATTTTCATTAGGAGAGTTCCTGGCACTGGTGATTTTCTGAACAAATCATATCACTCGGGACAGCCTGAGGTCATTACAATGTGCTGGGGCAGGGATAATGGTCCTAGATCCACAGCTGGATTGGCTCCCATTCCTTCAACTTAAAATTCGTCAATACAAATGCTATTCTCAGGACTAAGGATAGAAAGCTAGGTAGAACATAGTCCCTTCTCTTCAGGAGCCTATAATCTAAGAAGAGGATAGGGCATTTGTACAAATCAGTACCCTACAAAAGAGAGTAAGATGAAGCCAGAGAAGTCCAAAGAGCTCTATTTGGTGAGGGGTAGATAATTTTCAACTGGGTTCAGCTCAGGCAAAGATAATTTTTTTTTAATAAAGAGCTTGCTAAACAAAGAAAAGCAAAGAGAATGCAAAATCTTAGCTAAAGGGAAGGCATCATGGAGAATACAGACCCTGAAACCTGAGGGAAGAAAAGGATTTCAATAGATGGTCATGAGGAAGGGAAAGTGCATTCCAAACATGGGAGATGGCTTCCATGTGTGTTTGGCAAAATAAGAGTGTGGAACAGTGGGTCATCCAGTTCTGCCAGAAAGGAGAGAGACTGAGAAAGGGAAAAGTGAAGTAAACTGGAAATTTAAGTCAGAGCAAGATTTTGGAAGGCCTTGAATGTCAAGCGAACTAGTTTTTATTTTATTCTAGAGGGAAAAGGGAGCTACTGAAGTTATCTGAGCAGGAGAGTGGCATAGTCAAAGCTGTGTATTAGGAAGATAATTTTAGCAGCCGTTTGAAGGATGGATTGGAGAAAGGAAACCTAGAAGTAGAACGACCATTGAGGACCAGTGAGGAAGCTATTATGACAGTTTAGATAAGAGATGATGAGGGATAGAACTAGGGATACTAGCAAAGTGAGTGGAGAAGGGGTTGGATTCGAGAGATGTGAAACTCCCATTTTGACACGACCATGCCCAGGTCCAGTCAATCTTGAGATGATGTTTAAGAGGGCCAGTGTCTCATTGATTGGCCTTCCCAGCCCTCCTGTGTCATGGACAGGTAGGTATCAGCTCTCTAAAGAAGCTGGGTATTTCCAGCAAGGAAGATTCCAAATACGGTGGTGAGGGGTGGAGACAAGTTACTGAGAAGGGGCAGGGCAATGCGAGATAAGGCAGGAAGAGGTTTCTGGAACAGAGACAGCCTGTCACAAGAAGGAACCAGTCTAGAGGACCACCATAACTCACTTTACATGCTTGTTATGAGAAAAGGGCTTTGTTTTAACAGTTGTGATGTATAAAATGTTCAAGAGATACAATTTCTGGGTAATCATTTTATTAATAATGCTAGCACATCATTAATAAAAGGATGGTCATTTGGCCGGCTCTCTTAGACCAAAGACCCCTCATGGAACCTATTCAATACTTATATGCCCTTGGAAGAGTGGGTATTCCTGAGGGTAGAAATCAACTTTGATTGGTTAACAATTAATGAAGGAATATTATAATGAGAGGTGGACCTATTCTAATGAAGGTCTGGGGCACATGACTTTGATCATTCAGTTTATTTGTATCCATGTCACCCTTCTGACAAAAGGGAGTATCCACATTTTCCCAGACCTGTCTAAGTCTGAGTAAAACACAAGATAAGATAGCCTAGGTGGGGTAAAATTTTGGCAGAGGTCAGTAATGTCTTTCAAAGTCTGGGCTTCGAACAAGGAAATAGGACAGGGAAAAAGCTTGGATCTCCCCCATAATTGGTTATCAAGAATCATTTCTCTCAGTGCTGGATAAATGCGAGCTTTTCTTTCATTGTATTAGGTTTAATTTGGCAACTACCTATGGAAATATGGTGGACAGTCAGCATGGTTTTGGACTATTTGCTCTATACTATACAGTGGTTTACCATTTATAAAGCTCTTTACATCCAGTTTGTAGGGTATTTTATGATTTAATCTCTGTTCCCTCATCTGTAAAATAAGAGGGTGGGACTCAACAGCCCCTAAAGTCCCTTCTGGTTCTCTGTGACCCTATGATCCTATAACTTGGGGACCCCAAATCCTACTCCCTGGTTGTTGAGTCACAGTGGGGTTCTTCTCCATTTCTCCTCAGATTCCTTCAACAAGACACCGCCAGCAAGAACAGGGGACTCCCAGCGAGAGAAACAAAGAACCCCCAGCAAGCTTTGCTCTCCAACCCAGAACCAGAGGGGTAGGAAACTTAGTGCCGACTCCACAAGCTCTTGCCCTGGAAAGGAGGATGACAGTGTTCTCGGACTGGCCAACTTCAAGAGGGCTTTTTTAAGGATGAGCAAGAGGGAAGGTAGCCCTGGGGGGCAGGAAGCAGAGGAGAGCGGCTCTCGGCGAAAGAGCTCACGCTTCCTCAGGCCTTTCAGGAAGAATGAGGAGGAGGTGACCAACCGCCTTCCAAGGCTACTAAAGGGATCCCAGGGGTCCTCTGAAGAAGAACCCCTAGAGATCAAAATGGAAGTGGAGGAAGGTAAGGGGAACTGCAACCAGTGATCAGAAGAGCTGTCCCTCCCATGTTGTCCTGACAGTTCACCCTTTCTGGAGAGATTTATTTATGCTTCCACAGTTTACCCAGTGTTTTCATTTCCGCTGTCACACAGTCCCCACCTCAGTGTAGGCTGCTATTGTCTCTTCCTTAGACTATTCTCAAAGACCCCAAACTGGTCTCCCTGCCTCTAGTTCTTCCCCTCTCCAATCCATCTTCCTAATATATAAGTTTCATGAGGCCGGATAAGTCTCTAAAACTTTCAGAGGATCCCCATTGTTTATAGGATCAACTAACTTCCTTAGCCTGGCATTCAAGGCTCACCACAATTGGGCTCCAGCCTTGTTTCTATCTCTTCCACTGTGCTAGCATCATGCCTACACAGAGTAGACACATGGTGAATGTGTACTAAATAATAAAAACAATAATAGCTTCAATTTAATTTACATGTATTAAGAGTTTATTGTGTGCCAGGCTCTTGCTAAATACCAGGAATACATATAAGAAAAAGAAAGATAGCCCTTTTCCTCAAGGTGCTTACAATCTAATGAATTAACTTTTATATAACACCTTGAGGCTTACAAAGCACTTCTCAATTGAATTGAACTTTATAGCTTAAAATATACTTTCCTATTGACAAAACACTTTACAATTTACAAATGCCCTATAGTTCATAATATGCTTTCTGACCTATTGCTTCCCTTGGTTTTATTTGGGGTGCTAGGTGGCTCCATGGTGCATAGAGTACCAGGCCTGGAGTCAGGAAGACTCGTCTTTGTGAGTTCAAATCCAGCCTCAGACACTTACTAGCTGTGAGACCCTGGGCGAGTCACTTCACCCTGTTTCCCTCAGTTTCCTCATCTGTAAAATGAGCCGGAGAAGGAAATGGCAGACCACTCCAGGATCTTTGCCAAGAAAACTTCAAATGAGGTCATGAAGAGTCAGACATGACTGAAAAAATGATTTTGGTTTTGTTTCCTACAAAACAGGTACTCAACAAATGTTTTTTTCAAATTGCTTTGATACTCACAACAAATTCACGAGATAGGGCAGGGATTATTATCCCCATTTTAAAGAAGAGGAAACTGAGGCCCTCAAAGGGAAAGTCACTTTGGCAGGAAGTCAACTGTCAGAGCCCGTCTATTGGCTTTAGGGCCAGGGTTGTGTCCCCTGCTCCCAGGTACTTACCATTATTCTCTTTGGGCAGAAAAGCCAGTGTCTGATCTCATTGCTGAACGGCAGCTGCTGAAAGCCTTTTCCCAGCTATACCAGCGGGAGGCCAGTCTCGTGGAGGACCAGCACTCAGGGAGGTTCAAGGACGATGTGACAGCCTACGCTCGCCAGGCCATGGACATCTGTGTTCATTATGATGTGATGGCAGCTGAGATCAGGAACATCGTAGGTGAGACTCTGAGCCAGCCTAGTGTGGACTCAGAGGCTCTGCTGGGCATGGCCCAGCTGATTGAGAAGGAGGAAGAGGTGCACCCGGGGGGTCTGTCTGACAGCGACATCCTGAGTGCTCCTCGGAAGTGGAGGCTCCTGTGGAAGGAGGCGGTGAAGAAGAGTGCCTTGGATGAGGTGGGAAAGGTGGGCCAGGGCATGAGCGAACCTAGCCTGGCCAGCCTCCTTGCCAACCTGGGCAGGGTGGTCAAGAAGGACCTTGTGAAGATCCGGCGGGAGGTGCAGCCCTGCTACCCAGAGGACTTCCCTGTGTGGAAGACCTACGTGGATGCTTTCCACGGAGCTGTGTCTGCCCGGCTTCAGGAGCTCTTGCAGGAGGCTCAAGGCTTTGAGCAACTTTATGTGGTAATGGACTGGGTAGCTAATGTCTACTGCAGGTGAGTCACTCTGGGCTCAGCACTTGCAGGATGAGGTGGAGGGGAGAATCATGGAGCATGTGGCTGGAAGGGATAAAGGATCATAGGTCTACCTCAGAGGCTGTTGAGGCCAACCTCCTTATTTTATAGGTAAAGAAACTTAGGCCCAGGGAAGTTAAGTGACTTGCCCAAGGTCATATAGATTGTCCGCATCCAAGGGGGGATTTGAAGCCAAGTCATCTGATGCCACAGCCGGTGTTCTTTCCACCGTACCCCTGCTTCCTATGTTCTAAGGGAGCCAAGGCAAGGCAAGTCAATCTACAAGCATTTATTAAGTGCCAGGCACTACATTAAATGCTACAGTTACAAAGAAAGACAAAAATACAGTCTTGGCTCTCAAGAAACTCACAGCATGATGGGAGAGACAACATTCAAACAACGATGTTCAGACAAGCTGTAGACAGGATAAATTGGAGATATCCAACAGGTACTATTGATTGCATTGATATGGGGTTTATATGTGTAGATGAGCCAATCACATCTTAGCTCAGCCCCCATCCTAGTAGGAAAATTGATCCCTTTTGTCATATCAGAGTCTGGCTATAGACTTCATTTGATTCACTCAAGAATATATTGTGTAGAACTTTAATCAGAATGTTAGAAATGAATGAAGTAAATAGCATTCACCAACTCAGCTTCGCAGACCAGCCAATAACACCCTCCTCCTTAGCACCTTGGGGCAGCTAGATGGTGCTCTACTTAGAATGCCGGGCCTGGAGTCAGGAAGACTCATCTTTATGAGCTCAAATCCAGCCTCAGTCACCAGCCGTGTGACCCTGGGAAAATCACTTAACCCTGTTTGCCTCAGTTCCTCATCTGTAAAATGAGCTGGAGAAGGAAACGGCAAACCACTCCAGTATCTCGGCCAAGAAAGCCCCAAATGGCGTCACAAAAAGATGGACGTGACTAAAATGACCGAAAGACCACAAAACCTTGCCACCTTATTGTGAGGCAGGTTGAAAAGCCCCAGAGTCTCAGTTCTCCCTCCCAGTCCCTCTCTGGGGGAATTGGTGAGATGTTCTTCCTGGCATTTTTCCACTCTTGATGAAACCTGGGTCAGTACTCAGTCTGTGACAATAATACTGAAAGTCAAGTGTTTCTGCCTGTCTCCTGACACAGTCTGGGCTCCGGTAAACAGAGTACCTACTGTGCTGTGCATTCACTGGACAGGCCCAGTTTCTAATTCTCGGTTCCCAGGGTTTTTCTGGAGTACTCATTTAATGGTATGCAAATGTAGAGGGGGAGCTTTTTTCCCCCTAGGGCATAACAGAGAGGGTCTCCGGAAAAGGGAAAGAAGAAGGGAGGAAGGAAGCAATTGAAGCATTTACATATCATCTACTATGTGCTATCTTAAGCATTGCCATGTTTTTTAAACAAATGCTCAGATTCTCAGGATCTGAGACTCATGACAACCCTGGGAGGTAGGAGCTATTATTATCCCCATTTTATAGTTGAGGAAAGTGAGCCAAACAGGCGTTAAGTGATTTGCCCAGGGTCACACAGCTTGTAATCAATCAATAAACCTTTATTAAGTGCCTACTATGTATCAGGCACTGTGCTAAGCACTGGGTATACAAAAAGAGGCAAAAGACAGTCCTTGTCCTCAAGGAGCTTACAATCTAATGGGAAGTGTCAGAGGCCAGATTAAACTCAAGACTTCCTGATTTAAGGGTCAGTTCTCCATCTACAGAACCACCAGCCGGCTCCTAAATGGTCAGAGAGAAAGAACACATAGGATTTCTTAAGAGAGTACCATTCCCCTCAGCTCCCTCTGTCATGGCCAGCTCACTGAAGAATCAGTTCCAGGTCTTAGAGTACTGCCCCTCTGCTTGGATTTCTCCACTCTAGTTCCGCTTCACTTGCTGCCATGGTTTCTGATTAATCTCTCTGCTCTTGGCATGCTTCCCATTTCTTGGTTGAGTCACCTGTGTCTGTCATTCACTGCTTGTTGCCTTGAGCTGGCTTAAGCCCAAAGGATCCATAGACTCTCTATTAAAATCTTGGCAAAAGAAAGACATTTAAGTGAAAATTTACCACTTATCTGAGCTCCCTTTAAAATCACCATAAGGTGGCCCTGGAGTCAGGAGGACCTGTGTTCAAATGTGGCCTCAGACACTTACTAGCAATCCTGATTGCCCCTGCCCAAAAAACAATCACCGTAAGAACAAGAAGAAATTTAGCCACAAGAAACAAAATATGATCACGAATATAAACCCATCTGTCCTTCCCATATGAGGATGCAACCAGGTTGCACTTGGAGGTGTAGTCTCCAAAATCAGCCCAAGTGTCCTTAGAGGTCAGAAAGAATATTTAGGAGCTCAGGACAGTGCATTTAGGCAGTTCTTCTTCTGCTCTTCCAAAGCCCTGCAAACTGTACTGACCTTTCCTAGATGCTGAGTGAACTGGTCATTTGTTCTGACTTGGGCAAGCCAATATTGCCAAGGATGTGGCAAGTGGCTTATGTTAGGAAGTGCCTTGGGCTGAGTCAGGAGATCTGGATTCTAGTCCAAACTCTGCTACTAGCTTCCAGTGTGACCTTGGACAAGTCCTTTCCTGTTGCCAGTCTCTGTTTTTTCCTATTTAAAATGAGGAGGTAGCAGTAGATGATATCAGAGGTCTTCTTCTCTTGCTCAAAATCTTGTGAGTAGAGAATGCCACGATTAAAAGGAATGTCTCAGGCAGAGTTAGTTTACGTATTGACCAAGATGATGTCTGAGGGAAAAGGAATGTGAGAAGGGAAGGGTAAATACAGCCAGGCAGCCAAGAAGGGGCTCCACCGTCACCAGGTAATCCCACCATTTCTTTACTTGTCCTGGGCCTTGCCTTTTCCTATTTGGTCAATCAGACAATAAACATTTATTAAACATTCTATATCTCGGGCACTGTGCTAAGCACTAAGGGTACAAAGAAAGACAAAAGACAGTCCCTGCTGTCAAGGAAGTTCACAGTCAAATGGGGGAGAGAACCATGTGTTGTTGTTCAATAGTTTTTCAGTCTTATCCAACTCTTCATGACCCCATTTGGGGTTTTCTTGGCAAAGTTGCTGGAGTGGTTTGCTTCTTCAGCTCATTTTACAGATGAGGAAACTGAGGCAAACAAGGTGAAGTGATTTGCCCAGGGCCACACAGCTAATAAGTGTCTGAGGCCAACTACAATGTACAAACAAGATAGGTACAAGATAAATTAGAGATATTTTTAGAGTGAAAGTTTTAGTATTAGGAGAGACTTTTTATAAAATGCGATATTTTAGCTGGGACTTGAAGCCAGGGAAGCCAGGTGGAGAGATGAGGAGGGAGAAAATTCCAGGCATAAGAGATGGCCAATGAAAATGCATGCAGTCTGGAGATGGAGTGTCTTGTTTGAGGAAAAGCAAGGAAGCCCGCGTCACTGCATTGCAAAGCATATAGGGGTGAGTAAGGTGAATGAAGACTGGAATGGTAGGAGGGATCTAGGTTGTCAAGGGCTTTGAATGCCAAACAAACAATTTTGTATTTGATCCTGGAGGTGATAGGGAGCCACTGGAGTTCATTGAATAGGGGGTTACATAATTGGACTTGAGCTTTATTTTTTTAATTTTTTTTTTTTGGTTAGGCAATGGGGTTAAGTGACTTGCCCAGGGTCATACAGCTAGTAAGTGTTATGTGTTTGAGTCCAGATTTGAACTCAGGTCCTCCTGAATCCAGGGCCAATGCTCTATCCACTGTGCCACCTAGCTGCCCCCTGGACCTGAGCTTTAGGAAGCTTAATTTGACAGCTAAGCAGAGGATGGACTGGAGTGGGGAGAGAATTAAGGCAAGGAGACCAACCAGCAGTCTATTACAATAATCCAGATATAAGGTGATGACACCAGGGTGGCGGCAATGCCAGAGGAGAGAATGGGGCATAAATAAGAGATCTTATAAAGGTAAAATTAGCAGGACTTAGCAATGGATTGGAAGTGGGGTAGGGGGTAAGAGAGAGTGAGGAGTTGAGGATGGCACCTACATTGTGAGCCTGGGGGACTTGGGAGGATGATAACAAAAGGGAAATTTATAAAGATTGGAGGGTTTCAGGGGGAAGATGAGGGGAGTTTAAGACATGTTGAGTTTAAGATGTCCATAAGACATCCAGTCTGAGATGTCCAATAGAAAGCTGGAGATGCTAATCTGGAGGTTAGGTAAGAGTTGAGGGCTAGATAAGTAGATCAGAGAATCATCAGCATAGAGATGATAATTAAATCCATGAGAGGTTACAAGATCACTAAACAAAACAGCATGTAGGGAGAAGAGAAGAAGGGCCAAGCTAGAGTTCTAGGGGAACTCCATTAGCAACTGTGACCTGGATGAAGACCCAGCAAAGGAGACTAAGAAGAAAATATCAGATGGGTAGGAGGAAAGCCAAGAGAGAGCAGAGACACAGAAATCTAGAGAGAAGAGAATATCAAAGAAGATAATAGCTAATGGCTAACATTAATATAAAATTATTATCTCCTTTGATCTTCATAACAACCCTGGGAGGTAGCTGCTATTATTATCTCCACTTTACAGATAAGGACACTGAGGCAAATGGAGATTAAGTGACTAGCCCAAGGTCACACAGCTAGTAAGGGCCACGTTTGAGCTCAGGTCACCCTGACTCCAGGCTCAGTGCTCTATCTACTATACCACCTAAGAGGGTAATTGACAGTGTAGAAGCTATAGAGATTAAGAAAGATGAGGACTGAATAAAGGCCATTAGATTTGGCAATTAAGAGATTGTTGGTAACTTTGAAGAGAGCAGCTTCAGTTTAATGACCAGAAGCCGGACTGCAGAATTAAGAAAAGAGAGGGAAAGGAAGTGAACACTGGGATTACCTGTGGCCCACTCCAGGAATATAGTCACCCAAGGGTAGAGAGATGGGATGATAGCTATCAGGTATGGGCAGATCCAGGGAGAATATTTTGAAGATGGGGGAGACATGGCCACGTTGGTAGGCAAAAGGAAAGCAGCCAGTAAACAGGGAGAGATTGAGAGAGTGGGGCTGATAGGATGGACAATGTCCTGGAGAAGATATGATTAAGTGGGATCACTTGAGTATGTGAAGGTAAGGAGAAGGGTCACCTCTTCAAGTGAGACAAGAGTTAAGGAGGAGATAGTGCTAGAAGGAGGAGGGGACAGGAGGGTGCCCATGACAAATGGCTTCAATTTCTTTCAGTGAAGTAGGAGGCAAGGTTCTTGAGTGAGAATGTGGGTGGAGAGTGATCAATCCCCCCTTGAGGGAGGACAAAAAGGTTGGGAAAAGCCACTGTGTTGAGTGTGATAGTGAGTCAATTAGGGAGATACAAAAAAGTTGCTTCAATGCAGTGAGGGCCCAGTTGAAATTATACGACAAAAATTTGTAAGGGACCCAGTCAGTATGGTTTCATGACTTTCTTGTTTCATTAAGTAGCATGTAACAGCAAAGGCAGTAGTGGTGGGAGTAACCCAATGCTAAGGCTTGAGAGGGCAAGACCTTCAAGGGAAGAGAAAAGTATAGACCCTTTGGCACACCAAAGGGTCAAGATGGGGAAGGGAGGAGAGTATAAACAATACAGGGCTGATGGTCTGGAGAAGAACTGAGGGACGGAGGGATTTGAGCAAGGTCATGGGTGAGGATGAAGAACAGGATTTGGGGTTTGGGGTTGCAAGGAAGAGGGAAAAGTAGAATGCCAACAGATTGAGATCAGATAAGGGAATTTCAGAGCTCATGAACATGGAAGTGGTGCATTTGTGGGTGATGACAAGATCAAGGTTATGACCACTTCTGTGTGTCCTCCTAGCAAGGACTTCCTGGGCTCCTTGGACCTGGAGCTAGATGTGACCACAATGCCAAAGCTGCTGGCACCTGAGGTATGGGAAAAGCTAGAAAGTGACTACACCAAGTTCCTGGAGGTAAGACCCAAGGGCTGGGCCATCCGTGGCAGGTGGGGGGAACATAGGGTAGACATGGACAGCCAGCTCCTACGTGGAGAGATGTAGATGATGGGGGGGTCATCAGGGTTTTGCCCAGGGTGATTGGATTTAGAGAGTACTGACAGCGCTTACCTCCATCAGGTAGAAATAAATTAGCTTAACTTTTAGATAATAAGAAAATAATTAGTGAGAACAGGAAGCTCCCAAATGGTACCACTCTTTAGCACAGGCCTGCACAACATATGGCATGTTTGCAGCCTGCCAAAGGATTTCGGGTGGCTGTCACATGACCGGCGGCAACCAACCATCATCAGTCTTATATCCTTGTGATCAGTCAAAAAGATTTGTTTCTGTGTGAATTTTGATATGGAGCTCCTCGATCAGATTTGAGGACGTTGCCATTTCAAAGCTGTTAGCCCAAATTTAAGCTGTGTGGTGTAGTTGAAAGAGTAGTGAACCTGGAGTTAGAATACAACAGTTCAAATCCCAACTTCTCCTCCCAATGTTTGCTTCACCATGACAAGTCTCTGGACCTCAGTTTATTTTGCTTTCTTTTTTTTTTGAGGGGGGGGTGAGGCATTGGGGTTAAGTGACTTGCTAAGGTTCACACCTCCAGTAAGTGTCTGAGGCCGGATTTGAACTCAGGTCCTCCTGACTCCAGGGCTGGTATACTATCCACTGTACTCCCTAGCTGCCCTTAGCCTCAGTTTCCTTGTCTGAAAAATGTAGGGTTGGACTAGATGACCTTAAAATTCCCTTCTTAGATCTAAAAGCTATCATCTTATGAAGAAATTTAGATGAGATGTGATGAAAAATCTCTTGACAGTAAACAATCAAGGGAATGGGTTATACTGAGGTTAATTACACCAGCAAGAATCTTCTTCATCCAGTTTCTTTTTCCTCTAATTAACTTTCAGCTCTGTTTTTTAAAAAAAATTATAATCATTTCCTAATATGGCACCATGCTGCATTGAATCTTCTGTTTTAATAAACAAAAATTTGAGTAAAACTTAACCACCAGAACAACTGTGACTATATAAGCAATATGTGCACCATTCCACAGCCATAGTCCTTCTATCTTTCTAATGACAGAAGGGCCAAGATGGATTTGGAATCAGAAGGCCCGAGTTTGAATCCCAGTTCTTCTGCTTAGTACCTTAGGCAGGTCATGCCACTTCTCTGGGCCTCAGTTTCCTCATCTAAAAAAGGAAGAGGTTGGATGCAATATCTCCTCCAATTCTAAATCTGTGATTCTGTGATTCTATAACTCTCCCTACCCCAGGAACCACCTGTATCCCGTAGAAGATCCTCCCCTGTTTACCCTGGTCTCCCTCCATCCACAAATGGTAGCCACCCTGACAGGGGCCTTCTTTGTCCCAGTGTCTGCATCTGTGGTATGTTGTGTTCTGAGGTCTGAAGTTTTTCCAGTTGAATTTGCCTCAGAGCTTACCTCAGGAATGCTTTGTGGTACTTGCCCTGTCTTCAAAATTAGTAGCTATGGTTCTGCTGTGAGGGCTCTCATGTCAACAATCCAACCCTGGGCTTTAGAGCTGACTGATCAGTGTCAGCTTCCCAGGCCATCAACTCCTTTATTGTGTGTGATTCAACCAATCGATAAGCATTTATGAAGTGCCTGCCATGTGCCAGCCACTCTGCTGGACACAGAGAATACAGATGCAAAAGCCAAACAATTCCTACTCACTAAGAGCTTACATCCTAATTGGGAAGCCATGTGTGTGTATTTGTGGTTCAGTCGTTTATCAGTCATGTCTGACTCTTTGTGATTCTGTTTTCTTGGCAAAGATACTGGAGTGGTTTGCCATTTCCTTCTCCCGCTCATTTTACAGGTGAGGAAACTGAGGCAAACAGGGTTAAGTGACTTGCCCAGGATCCCATAGCTAGTAAGCGTCTGAGGCTAGATTTGAATTCAAAAAGATGAGTGTCCCTGACTCCAAGCCCAGCACTCTATCCACTGAGCTACCTAGCTGCCCAGGATGCATATAACTACATGCAAAATAAATATAAAGGGAATAAAGACAAATAAATATGAAGTAATTAAATACAAGGTAGTCTGATAGGGAGAACACTAGCAGCTGAGTCTTCATGCAGAAAGTTGGTGCTTAAGCTACAGCCTGAAAGAAGAGAGAGATTCTACAAGGCAGAGATGTCATTACAGATATGGGGAGATGGCCAGGGGCAAGGACATAAAGATGGCAAATGGGATATTTGTGAAAGGAACAGAGAGAAGGCCAATTTGGGTAGATCATAGAGGAAGTAATATTCAAAGGGGCTAGAAAAGTGGGTGGGGGCTAGATTGTGAAAGGCTTTGAAAGTTAAACATAAGAGTTTGTATTCTACCCCAGAGGCAATAGGAAGTCACTGGAGTTGACGGAGTAAGGGAATGACATGATCAGATCTGCACATGAGGAAAATCACCTTGTCTGACATATACAAGATGAACTGGAGTGGTGAAATGAGATAGGGAGACCAGAGAGAAGGCTAGTGCATTAATCTAAGTGAGAGCTAAGGATGGTCTGAACTAAAATGGTTGCTATATGAGTAGAGAGAAGGGGTTGGATGTGGGAGATATAAAGGTAGAAACAGCAAGATGTGACAATTGATTGGGGAGGTAAAGTTAGAGAGAATGAAAAGTCAAGGATAATGCCAACGTTAAAAATCTGGGAGACTGAAAAATAGTGATGCCTTTGAAAGAAACAGGGAGATTTGGAAGAGGAGAGGGTTCAAGGGGAAAGAGAGTTCAGTTTTGGAGATGTCGCATTTGAGATGTCTGCAGGACATCTTATTTGATGTGTCCAATGGGAAATCGGTGGGTTTAGTACTGAAGCTCAGGAGAGGATGGGGCTGGATATATGATTAGTTAGTCATCGGCCTACAGATGATGGTTAAATTCATGGGAACTCATGAGTTTATCAAGACAGATATTGTAGACAGAGAAAAGGGCCTACCACAAAATCTTGGGTAATATCCACAGTTAGGGGTTAAGGGATGGATGATGAACCAGCAAAGGAAACGGAGGAGAGATCATATGGGTAGGAGGAGAACCTGGAGAGAGCACTGTCACAACAATCCAGAGAGGAAAGAGGATCTAGGGGAGCTTTGCATCCGTTCCCAGGGCTTTAAATGTTCACTAATTTCTAGGACAAGAGAAATTCATTGATAAGACAATAGAATGTGAGAGTTAGAAGGGACCTTAGATGGTGTGCTCACTTGCTCCTAGGGTTCTCATAATCTCTGCTTCAGCAACTGGCTCTTTCTTATAGGAATCAGATCTATAACAGCTGTTCCTTTTGTTAGGCTCTCTACCTTCTGATGAATGGTACTATCATTAAGGCTAATTGAGAAATTATGAAACTCTGTTCTTGGCAGAGAATATCCTCTAGCAGATGTCCAGTTAGTATTAATTATCCCATTATTACTGTATCAGGCCTCAAAGCCAGGCTTAGGATCTCATTTTGTTCAGGTGGTTCTGTATTATACTCTGATGACACATTGCTTCTGTTTCTACCTCTCTCTGTCTTTACCCAAACACTCTTTACCATATGTCCCTGTTCAAGCTCTTCAAAATTTCCCCATATATTCATTTATCTTCTTTTTTTTCTTCTTCAGAAATTGATATATTTTGTTTGAGACCAGTTATTTCCTCAAAAATGACATGCTCTTCCCCACAGTATCTTCTCATTTTAAAAAGAAGTCATGCAAAACTACTTAATGGAATGATTGTGGCTAATGATATGACACATTACATTTATGCGGTTTGTCACCTGTTAATAAAAAAGAACGTGCATATTAACTTCAATAATTTGGAATAACCATTTTCTGATGTATTTGAATTGGATTTTCTTGCTATTTAGTGCTATTTTCATTTATGCTATTATAATAAGTGAAAGAATATTTTCATATATTCCTTTATTTTAGTCATTGACCCCTTTGCAGTATAAACCTAGTAATGTGTCTACTATACCAAAGGAGATAAACAATTCAGTAACTTTTCCTGTGTAGTTCCAGATTGTTTTTCAGGTTGATGTGATCAACTTATAACTGTATCAGAAATGAATTAATGTGCCTACCTATCCATAGCCCTGGCCACGTTGAATTTTTCCATTTTTTCACATCCTGGTTAATTTGTTCAGCCAATTTGTTTTATTATTAGTGATTGTGAACAGTTTTTCACACAGTTCTTGATAGTTCACTTTTCTGCTGTTGAAGACCATTTGCTCATATTTTTTGACTACTTGGCTCTTAACCAATGCCCTATAATTTTGATTGTCAAATTTTTATTAAACATGTTTGATGCAAATATTTCCCCCATTTAATACCATTTCTCATTTTTGTTCATGCAAAACCTCTTTTCAATGAATAAAAACTTATTTTTTTTCTTCCCACTTCCTACACCAATTGAAAAAGAAAACAAAACAAAATCCTGGCATCGAATATGCATAAATAAATAAAACAAATTCCTGTATTGGCTGTGTTAAATATACATATATATATATATATATATGTGTGTGTGTGTGTGTGTGTGTGTGTGTGTGTGTGTGTGTCTATACATACACATATATATGTGTGTATATATACATATGTATATATGATATATGTGTGTGTATATATACATATATACATATATACATATATATACATATATACATATATATACATACACACACACATATACATATATACATACACACACACATACACACACACACACACACACACACACACACATATATATATATATATATATATATACATACATACATAAAATTCTGCATCCTGAGCCCATCCTTCTCAAGAGGAAGGTGGGCAGCCTTGGTGTTCTGGAATCATTGTTGGTCATTGTGTATTTCAGAGTTCTTAAGTCTTTAAGAGCTGTGGTGTTTAAGAGCTGTTCAGTCATTTCATCATGTCTGACTCTTTGTGACCCCATCTGGAGTTGTCTTGGAAAAGATGCTAGAGTAGTTTGCCATTTCCTTCTCCAGCTCATTTTATAGATGAGGAAACAGGCAAATAGGGTTAAGTGGCTTGCCCAGGGTCACCAGCTAGTGTCTGAAGCCAGATTTGAACTCATGAAGGGGAGTCTTCCTGACTGCAGGCTCAGTGCTCTATCCACTTCACCTCCTAGTGGCCCAGAGGCTGGATAACCCCCTCTAAGGAATGTTGTACAAGGGATTCCTATACAATAAGAGTTTGGACTAGATACCAGAAAGGCATAGAGAGGGTTCTAGGGCTCCTTTATCTTTGGAGCCATGCGAGGGAAGGTGCAAAGTGATGTGGGCACATATGAAACCTTGAGTCTGATGTGGGTGTATCCTGGCATTTGGGTCTCTTCTCTCTCTCAGGAGAATTGGTACTGTCCTAACCATTACCTGGAGCCTGGAAACATACTCATAAACCTGTCTTCACTCACAAAATTAGGCTTTATCCCTGGGGTAAACAGACAGAAATTCAAGAAAGGAAAAGTCTGTCTGTTCCAACCGATGGTAACACTGGGTCAAAGAATTTAGAGATAAAAGGCACCATGGGGTGGAAAAAGGGGGAAATAGGAGAAAGAGACAGAGGAGAGAGAGAGAGAGAGAGAGAGAGAGAGAGAGAGAGAGAGAGAGAGAGAGAGAGAGAGAGAGAGAGAGAGAGAGAGAGAGAGAGAGAGAGAGAGAGAGAAGAGACAGAAGAGGGAGGGAAATAGAGCAACAGAAAGAATACAGAGAGAGAATGAAAGAATTTCTTTCCCCTTTTCGTTTCCTCTTCAGACAAAGATCAACAGCTGCTTTGACAGCATTCTGAAGCTGGAACTGGACCGGTGGGCAGAAAGGGAGGGCCCTGCCCTGCTTCAGGGTCTCTACCACTCCCCGATCTCCATTGACATTCACATGGTGGGTAATAATAACAGAACTGGTAAGTTTCTATTTCTGTAGCACCTTAAGATTTCCAAGGCATATTCCTCACAACAATACAGGGTGAGAGTGTGAATATTACTATGCCCATTTTACAGATGAAGAAACAGAGGCTCAGAAAGGTTAAGTGATTCACCTAAAGTCACCCAAGTAAGTGAGGAATAATTTGGGAATGGGGTAAAGCCAGGGCAAGGGGTGTTGAGAATGAGGAAGGTGATGACCCTTGATGTTCTACTCCTTGGTCAGACTTCATCTGAAGTTAAGCTCTGGAAACCACTTTTAGGAAAAACAATGACAACTTGGAGTGGGTCTGGAGGAAGGCAAACAAGATGGTAAGAGTACTCAAGGGGCAGCTAGGTGGTGCAGTGGATAGAGCACTGGCCCTGAAGTCAGGAGGACCTGAGTTCAAATCCGACCTCAGACCAAATACTTGACACTTACTAACTGTGTGACCCTGGGCAAGTCACTTAACCCCAATTGCCTAAACCCCCCCCCAAAAAAAAGAGTACTCAAGACCAAGCCATGTGATGATCAGTTAAAAAAAAAAACCAATGATGGTTAACCCTGAGAACACTTGAGATCACAGGAGAATTTACCTCTCAGTAATAATAGTCCACACTCATATGACATTTAAGGTTCACAAACAACAGTCCTCACAATATGCCTATAAGTAAGAAGTGCAAGTCTTATCATTCCCATTTTACAGATGAGAAAACAGGCCCTGAAAGCTGAAGTGTCTTACTCAGGGTCATACACTGTCACAGCTGGAATTTGAACCCACATCTTCTGACTCCGAGTCCACTGCTGTGTCTACTATCCCATACTGCTTCTTTAGAAATAGAATGGCTCTCAAAAATATTTTGAAGAGGAATTTCAGAAGGAGGGACCTCTGAGGCCATTTAATCAGTCTCATATCTGAACAAGAATCATTTCTATGATAACCCCCCCAAAATAGTAGGTAGGTCTTCAAACCTTTGCTTGAAGACCACCAGTGAAGGGGACTCTACTAATTATGGAAGCCCTCTTGGCCAACTTTAGTTTGGCAAGAATATTTTTCTTACCTCGAACCTAAATATGCATCTCTACAAGTTCTCCTCGCTGTTTCTAGTTGTGTCCTCTGGAGCCAAGCAGAGCAAGTCTCTTTCCCATGACAGCCCTTATTGCATTTTAAGACTTATTCTGTTTGGTCAGGGAACAGAAGTGAAGTTCTACAAGAAGGAAGATTTTAGCTCAATACAAGGAAGAACTGTCTTACAATTGTTGATGTCCAGCAATGTAAATAGGCTGCCTCAGGCGAGACGGAAATCCCCATCACCTGTAGCACAAGCGCTACTTACCTGTCTCAGAGGCTGTGGAGGGAGATTCCTTTACTGGCAAAGAAGGTGGGACAGAATCTTCTATCAAAGGGCCGCACTTAAGGACCTATAAGACCACATGTGGCCTCGAGGCCGCAGGTTTCCCACTCCTGGACTGAAGTATTCTGGGGGCCCCTTTCAACTCCCAAGATTATAAGATTCTGTGACCCTAACCTCTTCGTTCCTCCATTTCCTCATCTGTAAAATAAGACAATGATATCTGTGTTCTCATATATTCACACATGAGGTAAGTCCTTTCAAAACTGAAAATACTATAAAAATAAGAGCTGTTATTTATTATATTCTAAGATTATAAGCAGCTAGTAGGGGTGGGGAACCACATAGCTACGTGGCCTCGAGGCCACAGGTTCCCCACCCCCGAGCTAGATGATGCAGCGGCTAGAGTACTGGAATTGGAATCAGGAAGACCTGAGTTCAAATCTTGCCTTTCTACCTATATGTCCACTGAAAAGTTAATTGATCTCTGGGAACCTCAGCTTTCTCACCTATAAAATGGGGATAACATTAGCACCTACCTATCAAATTGCTGTGAGGATTAAATGAGATAATATATGTAAAGCACTTTGCAAATCTTGAAATGCTATATAAATACTAGCTATTATTGTTATAGTTGCATGAGAACAGATAAGGAAGAGAAAATAGATCTGGCATTTCTACTGACTGGGAGGAAAAGGGAGCAAATGTTCCTCTGTGTGTGTGTGTGTGTGTGTGTGTGTGTGTGTGTGTGTGTGTGTGTGTGTGTTGTGAAAGGTAAGATCAGAAAAGGGAAACATCTTGTCCAAGGTCACAGTGAGGGGCTCAGTGAGGTCTTGAACACAGGTCTTCTGACTCTTAAGTCTCTCCTTTTTTCCCCTCCTTTCCTCCCTCTGTTGCTTCCTCCCTCTCTTTCTTTCCTTCTTTCTCTCTCTCTCTGAATATGAGTTTATCAGGTCACAGAAACACCAAATGTTCCCAGCAAATAAGTACCATTTTAAACCCTTATAATTTGTTTACTCTTATTTTTCCCATCAAAAAAATTGTGGCCTATCAATTATACATGAAACAATGTCTGAGGCCAGTAGAGCATGTGTTGGCTAAGAGAGCATACTGACCTTGAGCCAGGTCACTTTAATAACAGAGATTATTCTATATTTGCAAATGTCTGCCATTCCACATGTCCATATTCCAGATAGAAAATAGTAGGGAAATGAAGAGTTACCCTGGCCATATATTTCCAAACTCAAATTCAGTTTTTACATACATCTTCTCCTTAAAACTCTGGTCTTCTGTGTCCCTTCTAGCTGCCAGGTCTCTTTCCATCATCTTGAGGCAGCTGGGTGGCCTAGTGGGTAGAGTACAGGGATTGAAGTCAGGAAGACACGAGTTCAAATCCAGCCTCAAATATTGGCTGTGTGACCCTGGACAAGTCACTTATTCTCTCTAATCCTCAGTTTCCTCATTTGTAAAAGGGGAATATAAAAAGCAGCAATTCTTCAGGGTTATCAAGGGGAACAAATGAGGTAATATTCTTATAGTGCTTTACAAACGTTAAATTAAGTGATATAAATGCCAGCTGTTATTCGCAGCCTATGCTGGCACGGTGAGAATCTAAGAGAAATCGAGATGAGAGGAGAGCAGGTGGTCTCAGGATGAAGAACACCATGTTCTTATCCCCAGGGGCAGGAGGTCTTAGTTATCCACATTATGTCACACAATCCCAGAGCAAGAGTCTCTGGGGGAGATGAGGATTAGCGAATCTCTAAGCGATGACTGAGGGTCATCAGAGACAGCTGGGACATCCCATTTGAGAAGAGGGACACAGCTTTAGCAGTCAATTTGTCTATACCAGAGAGCTGTGTAAATAGTCAGAAATTCGATTCATTTCACCATAACCACCTTTTATTAAGCCCCTGATATGTATGCAGAGCAAAATGCTTGCTGTTGAGGAAGATGAACCTTCCTGACTCCAGGCCCAGCTCCCTAACCATTGTACCACCTAGCTGCCCCAATAAGCATAATTAGCAAAGTATAAAACAAAATTCAAAGTGAAATCTGAGCACAAGACTGTTCCTGGGGGAATGGGGTTAGAGTTAGAAATGGAGGAGAGAATAAAGAAGGGGGTTGAGTAGAGAAGGGGATCAAGGATGCTATTCTTGGAAGAGATAGCATTGGAGTTTAATTTTAAATGATGAATGAGTTCATTGAAAAGATTCAAGAAGTGAAAAAGAAAAGAGGGAAGCACCAAAGCATGAGATTATAGGGGTTGTGAAAGACAGAGTAGGTCAGTTTAGTTGGATCTAGATTGTGTGGGAAGAAGATAAGGCATAAAAGGTAGAAGGACTCCAGATTGTAGTGTCCCAGGAACAGTGGGTAAAGAAATTTGAATTTTACTCTTTAAGTAATGGGGAGCCAGGAAAGACTGTGGAGGGGGGGACATCACCAGATCCATATATAAGGAGAATTAATGCACCACATCACAAAGGATGGACTGAAGGGGGAGGAAATATGGTGGTCATAAACTGGGGCCTCCATCGGGTACAGCTGTTGTATTACTTCCTTGGCCTCCTTCCCAGCTGGTTGGGGAGCATGTGAACACAGCCCGAGCCATCTCCTTGGGGCTGGAGGCTACCACACTGCAGATCTTGGAGCAGTCACTGAATGAATTCATCCCCAGGTCAGTCTTACATTCCCCCAAATGCTAGGCCCCTTACTCCATAGAGGGCCTGGCCCAAGACTACCTAAAGCAGGGATTCCTGCCTTTCCTTGGGAGGGGAATAGAAGGGAGTAGCTGGGGAGGAAGAAATATTACCAAGAACCCACTGATGCCTGGGGTCTCAAGGTCTCAGTTTTGCCATCTATAACCCCAGGAATTGCTTGAGGCTCATATATGAGTGCTTGCACCCAGGCTTCACAGTCAGAATTACACCCTACCCTCTCACCCCCATAGAGTCCTCCTTTTTCCTGGGGTTAAGGGAAGGGACTAGGCCAGGGAAACCCATAGTGGGATTGGCTGGGTGAAAGTCAGGCGAATTTCCTCTTCTTCACCTGTTAATAGTTATTATTATATTTATTATAAAGGAGGTCAGAGAGAAGCAGGAGTAATGATGGCAGGGTATGCAGATGAAAGAACTATGCCAGATGTGAACTTTATACACAAATGAAAGTATTCTTTTAATAAAGCATAATTATAATATCTGGGTGGCTAGGAGGTACAGTAGATAGAGTGCTGGACCTGGAGCCAATACTACATCTTTGTGAATTCAAATCTGGCCTCAGACACTTATTCAGCTGCGTGACCCTGGGCAAGTCACTTAACTCTGCCTCAGTTTCCTCATCTGTAAAATGATCTGGAGAAAGAAATGGTTATTACAACCCATCACACTTGTATTTTCTTCAGTCCCTCAGGTGGAAAGCAACCTAGATTTAAAGTCTAAGGATCTGGGTTTGAATCTCACCTCTGCTACTCACCACTTGTGTGATTTAGGGCAAAGGCTTTCTCTGGGCTTCAGTTTTCTCCCCTATAAAATGAAGGCTTTGGACTATAATATCAGCTCTAAGGTCCCTATTATCTTTAAATCCCATGAGCCATGGACTCTCACACCAACCCTGAGAGGAAAGGGATTATTATGTCTCCATTTTGAAGAGAAGGAAACTGAGGCTTAGAGAGGGGACAAAGTTCATTGAAGGTCACACAGAGAATTAGTGACGGAACTGGGAGCAGAACCTATGTTTTCTGTGTAATTAATTGTATGTCTATGAGGAATTCTTGGCATAACATGGAAAAGTCTACCTGCTGGACAACTGCAGGAAGGGAGGGGTACAACCCACCCTGCCTCTTCTCCTCTTCTCTGACCTCTACCTTTAGAGGTGGAAATTGCCAGTCTGTTCCAGCCCATCCCCTCCTCCTCCCACCTGGTTACCATGTCTAATTACTAGCCCCTGCTCTCTCCAGCAGAGCGGAAATTCTTGAACATGTGTGCAGCGGAATAATGGCCAAGGTAGCCCAGCCCCATCTTCCCCTTCCCACCCAGGCAGTTACTGCTACTGACTCCTATTTTGGCATAAGAGAAAAGAGAAACCAGTTTCATGCTTTTTTTAAAATTCTGTTTCAGGAAGTATATAAAATATAAAAATCATTAAGATTCTCCCTCATTTAGCTCTAGTGTTCCCAGCGGGGACAAGTCCAACAGAAAAGCTCCATTTTTTTTTCTTTCTTTTTTTTTCCAAAGATATTATGATCTTGTTGTTTAGACATGTTTCAGTCATGTCTGATTCTTTGTGACCCCCTTTTGGGGTTTTCTTGGCAAAGATACTGCAGTGGTTTGCCATTTCCTTCTCCAGATCATTTTACAGATGAGGAAATTGAGGCAGAGTTAAGTGACTTGCCCAGGATCACGCAGCTGAGTAAGTGTCTGAGGCCAGATTTGAACTCACAAAGATGTATTATTGGCTCTAAGTCCAGCACTCTATCCACTGTACCTCCTCACCGCCCAGATATTATAATTATGCTTTATTAAAAGAATACTTTCATTTGTGTATAAAGTTCACATCTGGCATAGTCTTTTCATCTGCGTACCCTGCCATCATTACCCCTGCTTCTCTTTGACCTCCTTCATAATAAAGAACTCACTCACTACTTTATCTAAGCTGGGCATTTAGTTCCAATTAGAGAGAAATGTAAACAAATGTGAAAGAACAGATAAATGTTGGAACTGGTAACTCAGTCTACCTGGGAAGGGGAGAGGAAAGGAGCAGGGAGAAGGGGAGAAGGGAAGAAGCATCACCATCTCCATCTTTGTTTTTGGCACCCATAGACAATTACTCTCTGCCTCATCTCAGCCCTGGGTGGCTATCTGCATGGTTTATGCCCCTACCCATGGTGGAAGGTGAGGAGGAGGAGATATGGCTGTGGCAGCTTTTGCTCTCTCCTCCATCAGTACTCCACCTAGCCCTGTGTGAACTCTCTCCTCCACAGTGAGGGGACAGCAATACTGCCCCTTTAAGGATCACACAGCCAATGAGAACTCTTTGCCATCTGGATGTGGTCTCTACTATCCTGCTACACCTGATTGCTAGAGCAGTGATGACTACCACCATTCAAACCATTCTGACACTTTTAGTGTTGTCCCAGTGTATTCTGGGGTATTTTTTGGTTGTTTTGAAAAAAATCATTACATTTATTATTAATATTCAATAATGTTGCGTTTATTATTTTTGCTTTACCAAAGCCCCATGGCATTTATATCATATTATATATATGAGATATATGTTATATATGATATATATCATATTATATCATACTATATATTACATTATATTATATTATATTATATTATATCATATCATATCATATCATATTATATTATATTATATTATATTATATTATATATTATATTATATTATATTATATTATATTATATTATATTAATTATATTATGAAAATACAGTGGGTTTGGAGTTAGAGGACTTGAGTTTGAATATTGGCTCTAACATCTGTATGACCTTAGTCAAGTCATTTCTCCTCCTCTCTGTCTCAGTTTCTTCCTTTATAATAACTCCTCTTCTGACTCTAAATCCTGTGATTCTTTGACCCCTGCTTTGGACCAAGCAGCCACAGGATTTTTTTTTCCTTCTTCCCTCTCTCCCTGTGCAGGTTTGAGGAGAAGTTCCTGGACTCGGACACTGCAAAGGATCAGACCCTGTTCCTGCCCTACCTCTGTGCCTACATCACTGCCTTCCAGGAGCTGAAGTAGGCTTCAGTGTCTGGGGAGGACAGGGGAAGACACTGTCTAGAGGTTGGGGAGGAAGGGGTACAAGGAAGCTGTTAGGTCAGTCTCTGGCCAAGGCCAAAATCCCTCCTAAGTCATCTTCCCCTCAACAAAAGTTTATTAAGCAGCTCGCGTGTTTAGAGCGCTATCCTCAACAACGGGGGAGATGCCAAGTTTAGGCATGCCATTATCCCTGCCGTCATTGAGCTTACAGTCTGATAGAAGGATAAGGACTGAAATACTTAATAGTACCTATTAAGTGTATTCTTGCGATGCAGAACAGGTCTCTGGGAGGGATAAAGAGTATGGGAAAGGCTTCCTGAGGAAGCTGTGTTTGAATGGGGTTTTAAAGGAGGAATAGAAATTGTTGATTAGGAATTCAAAAGACACAGACAGAGGTGATAGGGCATTCAAAACATAGGGAACTGCATGAACAGAAGCTTGGAGGCAGAAGACCACTGGATATATCTGGGGAGTAGAAATTAGGTGTTTGTTTGGAGTACGATGTGTAAAGGGAGGTAATAGGAGATAGAGTTGGCAAGGCAGGCTGGTGCCGGATGGCAGCAGGCCTCCAATATCTGGATGAAGAGCCTATACTGAAGTTCAGTAGAGAGCCAGCAAAGATTTTGTTATTGTTGTTATTATTTTTAGTAGAAATGTGACTAGCTCCATGCAATAGGAAAGTTATTCTGACAGCAGCATGAAGAATGGATTTAAGAGTGGAGAGAATAGAGGATGAAGATTTGGCTTCATGCTCCAATATCTCTCTTTTCTCCTCTCTCTCTTTCCTTCTTTTTTTATCAAACCCTCATCAGTGTAATTCAGTGGGAAAGAACCTTTGATTCCATTTTCCCCAGCCCTGCCAATAATTCACTGGGTGACCTTGGACAAGGATCTTCACCTACGTGAATTTCATCTGTAAAAGGAAGTGAATGTTTGTAGCACGTACCTTGCAGCATTTTGAGCAAAGAAATGGAAGCTACCATCATGGCTTTTTCATGCAAGAGGCAGAGGAAGAACAGACCTGGGGCCTGGCTTAGCCCCTTCTCTATGGGAGCTCATAAACAGGTGCCCCAGAGAAGGAGAAATAAGAAAGACCTGGTCAGTTCTAACCACAGATGTGGATAATATTGGATTGACCCAATGACATGCTTAGAATGCCAGATGAGAGGGTGGGCAATTCCCTCCACTATTACCACAGAATCTCCTGAAAGGAGTTAGCTCTTGGAGCCCAGAATCATTCACCATGTTGAGATCGTTAAAGATTGGCCTCCAGGCATTGCTAGAAAGCTTGCTCATTTTTTTACCTTCATCCCTGTCTGAGGAATCCACCTCAAGAAAGGGGCCATATTGTCTTAGAAAAACACTTGATTTGAAGTCAGGAGGAGTTCAAATCCTGGCTCTGCTATTTACATCTGTAAAATGAGAGAGCATTGACCCAGATGATTTCATCATCCAGATGATGTCTGCCTCATGTTCTGAAGTTGTAACACTTCAGAGCTTGGGTAGGAAGAAGAATCACTGGATTTAGAGATAAAAGGGACCTGAGAGATCACCTGGGCCAATAATCTCAACTTACAGATGAGGAAACTGAGGTCCAGAGAGGGCAACTCATAGAAAAAGCCAATTGTCCGAGTCTCATGTTTCCAAATCCAAAAAGGAGCCATGGGAAAAAGATGTCCTTTGTTTTCCTGGGGATCTTTTACCCTTTTTGGTGATTACTATGCCAACAGATCCCATTTATGGCACTTTATAGCGCCATAAATACTCCCTCCACAAAACCCCATGAAGGGAGGAAGGATTTTTATCTCCCTTTTATAGATGAGGAAACTGAGGCCCCAAGAGGGGAAATAACTCTCTCAGGGTCATAAAGTGAGTCAGGGACAAAGGTGGAGCTTGAACCCAATCACCTTCACTCCACATCTGATACTTTTCCCCATTGGGTGAGGTTTAGAATTATACTCCCACCCCTCACTTGCCTACTAGCCTGTGAGCTTAGGGGACTAGATTTTACCCATCCCTCTACAGGATTTGAAGTCAGAAGATCTAGGTTTGAATACCAGCTCGGCAGTTAATATTTAGTGGTACAAGTCACTCTCTTTCACTGTAACTCAGTTTGCTGATCTATAAAATGAAGTGGATGGGAAAGATGATCTCCAAAGGCAAAGGCCACTTTAGATCTTATGAGGACTCCTCCACCACCCCCACCTCCTGTACAGATACCATCAGGGCTGTTGCTTTGGGATCTCATAAACATATCATATGTGTTACCCCCCCCTCCCCTGCCTCCTCCCTCCTTCACAAAAAACCAGCTTCCTATGGTCCTCTAGTCTCTCTTTCTAGACTCCTAGGGACCACTTTCCCCTACCTGCAATACTAGTCCAGGCCTCAAGGTGGCAGAAGGCCTCTGGGAATCACTAGCCTTAAAATGCTAAGAATCAACAGACTGAAGAGTCCCCAAACCTTCTATAACCAGAAGTTCAAGGAGGTCCTGAAACTCCCATGTTCCTAGTTCTGGGCAGTGGGGGGTTATAGAAGGGGACCATTCCGGCTCCTTCCCTCAGGAGGACCACAGTCTGGAGTAGACAGGAGAAACAGACCCAGCCCTGCCCTCAGAGAGCTTGTAGTCTAACTAGAGGAGAAAGGTGCATGACCATGGGACACAGCACGGCCAGCGAGGCCAGTGTGGGATACCATAAGGGACAGAGAAATTCAGAAAGGGCAAGAACTATTGTGCACTGGCATAATCAGGGCTGGCTTCCTGAAGGAGGTGGCATGAGCTGAACCTCAAGGGAGAGGCAGGTTTTTGACAAGGGGATTACTGTCCCCTTGCTCAAGGAAGGAGAATGGCATAGAAGGAATAGCTCAAAAACAAAGAAAGGTGGAAATGAGCCTAAGGTGTGTATGGCAGAATGAAGAAATAGTGCTTGATGAGACATATAGATGTGTTGAGTAGTATGAGATACACCCGGAGAGGACGTAGAAGTCAGGTTTAAATACCAGGCTAAGAGGTTTGTGTTGCGTGGGGTAAGAGTAGAAATGGGGAGCCACTGAAGGCTGTCAATCAGGGAACGCTATCAAGCAACAAGCAAGTGTCACTCACTGGGTCACAAAGACAAAAGTGAGCCATTCCCTGTCCTCAGAGAGTTGCCAGTCTAAGGGGGGACAGTATGTACAAAATATACCCACATACAACATAGATGCATAAAATAGACGTAACCTAGGATTCAGGCCTGGATCGTTTGCGTGAAACTTTCCACCAATGAGGAAAGTCTTAGGGAAATGACCCAGGCTTGAATTTGGTTACGAAGTACATACAAAGCAGACTCATGGTCAAGCTAGGCATTATGAATTTGATTTTGACAGTCTTTGGAAGGATGGATTGAAGAGGGGGAGACTAGAGGTAGCGGGGCAGGGGGGCAACCTAGAAAACTTTGACCAAATGAGGTGAAAAGAGCCTGAATGAGGGGGGTGGCATTGTGAGCACAAAGATGGGAATAAATTTGGGAAATGGAGGTGACCAAACCAGTGTTTCATAGTGGATTGAATGCAGAGATGCGTACAGTTCAGAAGTGCTATAGGGGTCAAGAGGATCAGCAAAGCAGGGCCAAGCACTTTAGGTGAAGGCATTCATAGACATAGGGTTTAAAAGCTACATTTTGTTGTTGTCAGTCATTTCAGTCATGTCGGACTCCTTATGACCCCATTGGGGGTTTTCTTGGCAAAGATACTGGAGTGGTTTGTCATTTCCTTCTCTAGTGGATTAAGGCAAACAGAGGTTAAATAACTTGCCCAGAGAGTGAGTATCTGAGGCCAGATTTGAATTTATGTCTAAATACTTTGACCACATAATGAGAAGATGGAATTTATTGGAAAAGACCCTGATGTTGGGAAAGATTGAAAGCAAAAGGAAAAGAGGACTGCAGAGGATGAGCTGGATAGATAGCATCATGGAAATGACAAATATGCCCTCGGACAGACTTCAAGAAATAGTAGAAACATGACTAATGTAGAAATAGGATTAATATGATTTTACATGGACACCCTATATCAGATTGCTTGCTGTCTTGGGGAGGGAGATAGAGGGAAGGGGAAAAATTTAGAACTCAAAATCTTATAAAAGCGAATGTTGAAAACTATCTTTACATGTAATTGGAAAAAGCTATTAAGTGGGGGAAAAAAAAGAGAGATAGTGGAGGATAGAAGGGCCTGCTGTGGTCCATGGGATCATGAAGAGTCAGACAGGACTGAATAACTGGACTACTTCTTGACTCCAGGCCCAGTACTCTATCCACTGAGCCACTAGTGACCTCAGAAATTTCATCATAGATCATCCATTTCCTCTTCTTACTCCACCTTTTTTTTTTAACAGATAAGGAAATTGAGGCCCAGAGAAGCTAAGTAACCCTACCCAATGTCACATAAATTGTAACATAAATTTGAACTCAAGTCCACTGCTTTTATCTATTATCTAAATCTATTGTTTTTTTATTTATTGTGTTGTTGTTTCAGTCAAGTCTGACTTTTTGTGACCACATTTGGAGTTTTCTTGGTAAAGATACTGGAGTCATTTGCTATTTTTACTTCTCCAGCTCATTTTACAGATGAGGAACTGAAGGAAACAGAGTTAAGTGACTTGCCCAGGGTCACACAGCTAGTAAGTGTCTCAGTTCCTACTGACTCCAGGCCTAGTGTGCAATTCACTGCATCATCTAGCTGCCTATCTATTATCTAAATCTATCACTTTTTATATTGATCTATGTTGTCTCTAATAAAATACTGAAATTTCTGTAGCCCTGTAAGACAGACAGCATAGCCTTTATAAGATTTTTTAAATAAGATTTAAAATTTATAAGGTTTATATTTTCCTCAAAAAAAAAAACCCTTAAAAACCTATGAGGCAGGTAATCCATTTTACAGGTAAGGAAACTAAGGCTCGGTAAGTTAAATGACTTGCCCAAGGTCACATAGCTCACAATATATCATATAGGACCAAGGATCTGAGAGCTGGAAGGGAAGAAATCTAGCCTGACCTCTCATTGTACAGGTAGAAACCTGAGGCCCAGAGGAAAGTGATTTGCCCAAAGGCAGACAATTTATTAAGCAGTGAAGGCTGGATTTGAAAACCTATCCTTTGACATTACATCTAATACATGTGTTATATGGAGGAGAAGTATTGTGAATGAGCTCCTGAATTGTGTCCCAAGCCTTATGGGGCTCAACCAAGCCCTGGGCAGGGCCAGTTTGGCTGGGCCTCCATGGAGGCATGGAGCATGGTGGCTATCTAAGTCGCAAAACTAGGTGGTAGCCACCCAAATATAGAAGGGCACTAGTGTCCTTAAGAGCTCTGTTCAGAGTGGAAAGAATGCTAAATTGGGAGTCGAGAGACATGAGTCCAAGTATCATCTCTGTCACTCACTATTGTATATGACCTTGGATCTCAGTTTCCTCATTTGAAAAATGAGGGGTTTAGATTAGGTATCCTCAAAAGTCACCTTCCAGTACTAATTCTGTGATCTTCTGGTCCCATGATCCATGAACACTGGGAGTCCCCAGGGAATGCAATTGTCTGACCAGTCTTTCTCAGTGTCTTTTGCTAACACCCATGCCACATCCACTAATCTGGAACTTCCCCCAAGTATTTTTCCTGGACCTTCTTCTCCTTTCTTTCTATTCATTCAGTCTCAGTCTCTCATCATTTTCCATGGGTTCAACTATTATCTCTATAAAATGGTTCTCAGATCTATATATTCAGCTCCAATCTCTCTCTCTTGAGTTCTAGTCCAACCTCATGAACTACCTATTGGACATTTTGAAGAGGATGTCTCCTAGGCATCTCAAAGTCAACATATCTGAGGGAACTTTCTTTCATCTAGGACCCATGCCCATCTGAAATGTCACCATTACTCGTCAAGGTCATCTCTTAACTCCTCACTCTCCATCATCAGACTATCCAATCAGTTGCCAAATTTTGTTTTTATTGTCACAACTTATCCTTCTCTCCAATCATACAGCCACCATCCTAGTACAAGCCCTCATCACCTCTCAAGCAGACTAAAGCACTAGCCTCCTAATTGACTTCCCCTGCTTCAAGTTTCTTTTCCTTTTTCTTTTCTTTTTTTTTGGGGGGGGGGAGGCAATTGGGGTTCAGTGACTTGCCCAGGGTCACACAGCTAGTCAGTGTCTGAAGCCAGATTTTAACTCAGGTCCTCCTGACTCAAGTCTCTTCTCCCCTTAATTCATCTACACTACTGCCAAAATGATTTTCTTAAAGCTCAGGTCTGACTATATCACCCTCCACTCGATAAATTCCAATGACTCCCTATTACTTCTATAATAAGATACAGAATCCTGTTTGGCATTTAAAGTTCTTCACAACTTAACCCTTTCTTCCCTTTCCAGTCTTACACATCCCAGCCCTCCACTTACTCTAGTAGCCACCCTAGCCTGCTTGTCCTCATCTTCACCTCTCAAAACTGCTGTCTTCCTTTTAAGACTCAGCTCAGTCTCCACCTTCTACAGAAGGCATATTCTGGTCTTCCTAGCTGCAGGTGCCTTCTGGGCCTAGGTTACCTTGAGTCTGTTTGTGTCTGACATATATCTCTATCTGTACACATTGTCATGTTTCTGGAACGCAGGGACCGCTTTGTTTTGTCTTTTCATTGCTAGCACCTAGTCCACTGGCTGGAGCATAGCAGGTGCTCAGTAAATGCCTACTGGTTGACTGATTGGTTGAACAAGGGAGTGAAGCTGCTCTGCCTCTCATTCCATTTTGTCCCATCTGATCCTATTCATATTTCCCTTGTCTAGCTTGGCCAGTGATTCTCTGCATGACCTTGGTCTAATTATCTCTTCCCTATAAACCTTATCTTCCTCTGTAAAAATGAGGAAGTTGGCCAAGATAACTTCCACTCTCCCTTCCAGCTCTGATATTCTGTACTCTATGGTGTGGTGCCCAGAACAACCACAGAGTAAGCCATGCCAAACTTTCCTCTTCCTCCTCCTCCCCCAGCTACCAGCTGCCCTTTTGAGGTTTTTTTCTCTCACATGCTTCCCAGGCACACCCCAAAACAAGCATTTACAGCTGGGCCGAGCCTACAATTCTGGGATTTCCCAGCCCTGTGCCCTCCCTCATTGGCAGGCAACAGATGGGCATGAAACTGGCATTGTCATTCTCAGAGTAGGGAAAGATTAGGGAACCTTGGAGCCAATTTCTTGTCTGGAGATCCAGGGCCCTGTATTTGGGCAGGGGGAGCTAGTTCCCTGTCTGTAGGGTACTCTGTTTCAGGGCCCAAGTAGTACCAACTGTGGCCATTATGTAGATACCCTTCCTTAATGCAGATCTTTTCATCCTCTCCCCATCAAAACTGACCCCAGGATTCCCCTCCCATCCCTGCAGGTTCCATTCCCAGGCCTGTAAAGACAGTTAACAAGGTTACTTGGAGGCAGCCCAGTTAAGGCTGAGAGCCCAGGCCTTCAAAGCAGCAAACTTGGACTCTAGTTCGAGCTTTGCCGCTGACTCTGTTTTGCTTACTTGTTTGTTTGCTATTAGTTTTTTGTTGTGGTGGTTGTTGCCGTTTTGCCAGTGACTCTCTAGGTAACTTTGGGTAAGTCAATCCTCTGGGCCTCAGTTTCCCTATCTGTAAAATAATAATAATAGTGTTTTTGTTTATAGAGGCTTAAAGCACTTCCTTTCAACAACCCTGTGAGATAAGCAACAAAAGTCATCTTAGACAAAATGGAGTCTCAAAGAAGGGGGCTCAACTCGCCCGAGATCAAAGAAGCTAATAAACAGAAGAGCCGTAATTAGAAAATTAATGTGCATTCCATTGCACTCTTCTGCATCCATGGGCTTTGACTAATTGAAAGAAGCAGTGTGGAGGAGTGAAACACATGGTGTTAGATTTGGAGTCAGGGAAGTGGGGTTCATATCTCAGCTCTACTACTTACAATGGCCTGAGCAGTTATGGGGAGAAGATGGGAAGGAACTCATGGAAAATAAAGAGGTTGAACTAGCTGTCCTCTGAGATCCCTTTTAGCCCTAAGTCTAGAACACAGTAGTCTCAAAAGGCCTTTCCAGTTCTAATATTCTATGAGGCTCACACTGTGCTCTTGGACCATTGTTTCAAGAGGAAAAAGGGGGCGGCAATTACAGACCTCAAAGTACAGAAGAGCATCTGATTAAGTGAGTACAGAGGGATAAGGCTTTCTCCTCTTCCCAGGCTCCTGTACCTTGGCTGGTGCTAGGAGGCTCACCTGCTCCTGGCTTTTTCTCTCCAGGACCAACCTACCGGCCAAATTCCTAAGCAGCTTTAAGAATGTGGAAACAACCCTGTCCGAGGTGATTAGCGGGTTCAAAAAGCAAATGTTGATCCATTTACATCGAGAAACACAGGTAAGGTCTTTGGTTCTAAGTTCCTAGACTCATTATCTGCTCCAATGGTATCAGATGGAAATGGAGGTCACCAAATCATACATAAGGATGACTGCAGGACACACAGGTAGACCCAGCTATGGGATGAGCAGGGGTGCATGGGACTGTTGACCAGCCGGAATCTACACTGATCTTTGACAAAGGACAGAGTGGAGGACCTTGGCAAGGGGCAGGGGTTTTCTGGTAAAGATGGAGAAGGACATGGGAAAGTTTTTCATTTTCCTCTCATTAGGGAAAATGTCTATTTACAAAGAGCCCTTTTGTAAGAGAGGCAGAAGAAGAAGTTGCCCAGGCCCCGTGACAAGAGGTGATATCCAAAAGGAGTCTGCATGGGAGAAGAGATAGTATGTGGATGTAGACAATGTGTAGGAACAAGCACTTTGTCAGACGTGGCACTGAGATAGTGTATGCTTGGGTCCACAATGTGAAGTGTGTCCACAAATCCTCATTATCTAAACTAAACTGGGCCCTCACTACTGCACAGCAATCCTTTTAACCATCTCTGAGTCTTTATCACACTAACCAGAAAAGCGGCTTCGAAAACCTCTCTCTCTTCAAGACTCCAACTATACTCCCATGCCCTCTCCACTAAACATATGACTTTGTCTCCTCTCTAGCAGACAAGGTTGAGGTCATCTATCATCAGCCCTCTTCTTTCCCATTCTCCATACTCCGAAACCTGCCTACAACTTCACTCACCCTCTTCCACTTCCCCAGAAGTCTCTGAGAATGGGACAAATGTCTCTTCTTGCCAAAGCTAACTCCTTTTGCTATGCCTGTGACTGTCAAAAAAGTTCTGAGAGACATGGTTTCTGGGTGAAGTGATCATCTTACTAATAAGATCAACATGTCTATTAGTAAAAGGACGGTCATTTGGTTCTTTCTCTTAGAACAAAGACCCCTTACGGTGGCGAGTTCACAGTTTATATGCCCTTCAAAGAGTAGGTGTTCCTGAGGGGTGGCAATCGATTCTGACTGGTGAACAATTAATCAGAAAATGAATATTATGATGAGAGGCTGGGTTATATCACAATGAGGGTCTTGGGGTACATGACTTGGATTAACCAAGTCTTGGTCAGAGAGATGTATCAATTTTCATATCACCTGTCTGACAAAAGGGAGGATCCACATTTTCCCAGGACTGTCTGAGCAAACAAAATGAGCAGGAATATGTTCATTAACCCAAACTTAGAATTTCTTTTACTGTTGGATTAGATCTTGGCCTGGGTAAGTCTTTAACAGAGATATATTTCTACACTGGTTGGTTTCTGGATGGGGAAGTAGAAAAGGGGAAAAAACCTTGGTTCTGATTGAATAATTAGTTACTATTACCAGAGAGAAATAATCATTTCTCACATGCCTTTAATCTTATCCCCTCCTTTGGGAACTTCCTATATTCATTATTCTCTCTTTCTCCTCATCACTGGTTCCTTCTCTGTTATCTACAAAAATGGTCAAGTCTTACCCATCCTTAAAAACCTTTGACTTGACCCTGCCATCCTCACAAGCCTTTGTCCCATGTTTCTCCCTCCCTTTGACTGCCAAGTTCCTAGAGTTGTCCATAATTGCTGTCTATTTCCACACCATCCCCTCACTTCTTAACTCCATGCAACATGCTTTTGCCTCCTGTTCTCTCCAAAGTGACCAGTGATATCTTTTTTTTATTGATTTATTTTCATTTATCAACAATCACTTCCATATGCTTTTGAGTTTAAAATTTTTCTCCCCCTTCCTGCCCACCACCCTTCCCAAGAGGGTGCACAATCTGATATAGGCTTTACATTTACATTCCTATTAAACATATTTTCACATTAGTGATGTTGTAAGTAAGAATTAGAACCAATAGGAGGAACCACCAGAAAGAGGAAACAAAACTCAACAGAAGAAAAAAAAATAGCAAATAGTGTGCTTCAATCTGCATTCAAACTCCATAGTTCTTTCTTTGGATGTGGATAGCATTTTCCATCATGAGGCCTTTGGAGAGGTCTTAGATCCTTGCATTGCTGAGAAGGGCTAAGTCTATCAATATTAGTCATCACATAACGTGGCTATTATTGTGTGTAAAGTTCTCTTGGTTCTGCTCACTTCACTCAGCATCAGACCATACAAGTCTTTCCAGGTTTATCTGAAGTCTGCCTGTTCATCATTTCTTATAGCACATTTCTTATAGCATCACATTCATATATCACAACTTGCTCAGCCATTCCCCATTTGAAGGGCATCCTCTCAATTTCCAATTCTTTGCCACCACAAAAAGAGCTGCTATAAATATTTTTGTACATGTGTGACCAGTGGTATCTTAACTGCTCCATTTAATGGCCTTCTCTCAGTCCTTTTCCTCATTGACCTCTCTGTAGCCTTTGAAACTATTGACCTATTCAATTCAAGAGACATTTGTTAAGCTTTTGCTATGTGCCAGACACTGTGCTAAGCACTGGGGATACAAATAAGAAGACAGTCCCTGCTGTCAACTAAATGGAGGAAGACAACACAGAAAAGGAAGTTGGGAAACTGTGGAGGCGGGGGAGCCCTGGAGTCAAGGCAATGTTCCAAGGAGTTCAGACCAAGCCAAGCTGCAGAGGGAAAGTAGAGTGAGTTGCAAAGTCTAGGTTCTGCCGTCTATGGAGGAAAGCTTTCAGAGGAGTTTAATGGTCTATTCTCCAGCCCTCCAATCACAAGGGAGAAGGGCCTGAGGCAGCTGGGAAGGTGCTGAGTATCCAAGGCTGAGTTAAAGAGCATGATGAGATTCCTGGTGATCAGCTTATCCAGGACTCCTCCCCAACCTCCTTAACCTACTCTCTTCTCTCAAGTCTTCTTTGCTGGTTCATTATCCATCTCCCATCCTCCAAGTACAGGTATTCCCCAGGGCTTAGTCCTAGATACTCCTCTCTCTCTCTCTCTCTCCTCTCTCTCTCTCTCTCTCTCTCTCTCTCCTCTCTCTCTCTCTCTCTTTCTCTCTCTCTCTGTCCCTTTCTTCTTCCCTCTCTCTCTCCCCCCTCTGTCTCTGTCTCTGTCTCTCTCCCCCTTTCCTCCCTTCCCCTCCTCTCTCCGTCTTCTCCTCTTTCTTCCTCTCTCTCCCCTCTTTCTTCCTCTCTCTTCTTCTCTCTTCCCCCTCTCCCTTCTCTCTCTCTGTCTCTCTGTGTCTCTCTCTTTCCCTGTCTCTCTCTTTCTCTGTCTCTCTCTCTCTGTCACTTGTCAATCTCATTAGCTTTCATAGGTTCAATTATAATCTCACGCAGATGAATCCCAGATCGATATAGTCTGCACTAAACTTTTCCCATAAGTTCTAGTCTCACATATCAGTTAGATATAGTTAATCTGCTGGGCATCTCAACCTGGACTTTCTGTTGGTACCTGAAATTCAACCTGTCCAAAACTGAGATTATCATCTTCTCCCTCACATCTCCTCCTGTCTTCCTGTTGCAGGCACTATTACCATCATGCAAATTAAGAAGGACATTGAATTCTAATGAATGGGATGAAGTTACACTAGGATGGGTTAGAATGGTTTGTTGATACAGCCAAACAAAGGCTATAAGAGGGTATGGACATATGAATAACAATGCAGTCAGAGACAGAGTAACATGATGTCTGTCACCCCCACCTGCAGGGCAGCATGCTTTGGGTGGCAGCCCAGATGAACAGTGAGATAGGTCCTACACAGGAGGTTCAGAGCTGCGTAAGGCCTAGGTTTACACAAGGTTTTCAGACAAAAGATCTGTTACAGAAGCTTTCACATCAGGGCCCAGGAACATGCACTAGTCGCAAAAGGATGGGAAGTCCCTAAAATTGAATCAATTCAGAACAAAGAAGGTGGCGTCATAACTATTTTGCATCAGCAAGCTTGCTAGAGATATTCAGCAACCAGTTCTAACTAGAGCCAGGTACAATTTAAACCTTAAGCCTTCTAGACCTGGGGACTGGGAGATAGCCTTGGAGAGGGGGGCCATCGACTCCTCTGGCTCCTCAACTGTTCTCCTGGTCAGTCAGGTTCAAAATTTCAGGGTCATCTTTGATTTGTCACTCCTCATCCAATCAGTTGCCAACTCTTTGCACAATTGTGTATTATATATTATTCATTATATATAAAGAATATATATTATGTCAATAATATATGTATACATTATATATTAGCAATATGTATATATAACATACAAGTATATTTCTATGTATAAGGTATGTGTATATAACATATATATATATAAAATACATTAAAATGCATTGTATGGTATATGTAATAAATAACATAATAAATACATTATGTTGATATATATTGTTATACATTACATATGAATTATAAATGTATATAAAATATACATGCAAATGTATGTCTGTATTACACACATGTAAATAATATATTGTATAGGTATAATTTCTACCACACATATAAATAATATGTGTACATATCCATACACGTTTTATTTATGCATATATTAAGTATAAATAACACATGCATAGTACAGACATATATAATGTGTAGCTTGTATTATATGTATGCGTACATGTGTGTATGTATATATACATTTATCATATATAAACATAAATATAAAACACATATATGACATATGACTATATATACATAGTTAATATGTATGTATTCATGTGTATGTATATACACACACACATATCACAATGAGGATACTATAGGGTCATTATAAATCCATTTTCCTCCCCACTTTTGTGTAAGCTGTACCTATTCTGGGTATATATCTACCTCTACATCTATATCCGTCTCTATATTTCTCTATCTATCTGTCTATGTCGAAATTGAGACAGGTGAGAGCACCAATGATTTTGTTGCCATTATTCAGTCATTTCTGTTGTGTCCAACTGTTCGTGACCCCATTTGGCGCTTTCTTGGCAGAGATACTGGAGTGGTTCGCCATTTCCTTCTCCAGCTCATTTTACAGATGAGGAAACGGAGGCAAACAGGATTAAGTGACTTGCCCAGGGTCACACAGCTAGTAACTGTCTGAGGCTGGATTTGAACTCAAGAAGATGAGTGTTCTTAACTCCATGACTGACATTCTATCCACTGCAGCACCTAGTCGGCCATGCACCAATAATTAGATGTATCCAAAAAGGCTTTGTATAGGAGGGGTCACATGAGCTGAGGCTAAAAAGAGGCCTAGGATACTGAGAAGTAGAAGTGAAGAGGGAGTCTAATCCAGACATGAAGCACAGCCCCTGTAAAAGCCATCAGCAGAGCCCTTGCCCTCATGGAGGTCTCAGTTTTGTTGGAGAGACAAACACTGACCACATGGGATAGTCAGAGACCAGGACAGCATGTTCACTATTTGAAAGCCATACATTAATCACCTGCCATGACTAAGGCCCTGGGCTTAGCATGGGGGACGTGAAGAGAGATCTAACATTAGCCCTACCCCAATGACCTTACAATCTGTTATTTTTCTTTGACTTTTTAAATTAAAAATTAACACGCATCCCTTTATTTGACCCCAGTCTTATTAAAGGAGTACGTCGGGCAACACTTGCCACAATTCATTGCCAGCATAAAGCCTCCAGCCCCACACGTGTCAGAAGGGCAGAGAGCCTTGTAATCCTCATCAACCTCATGGCACTTGAGCACAGCAAGCTTCACCTTCTTTCTCTGGTGCTTTTTCTTTGAGAAGTGGTGTCAAGTTTCTTTCTCTTCTTTGGCACTACCTGAAGTCTAAGAATAAGACGCGGCGTAGACTCCTTCTGAATCACTGGAGTCAGGTGACACCTGTCCAGTTTCCAGTTGCTTGCTGGCAAAAATCAAACTTTGCAACTTGGCCTTGACATTGTCAATAGCATCAGAAAGTTCAATCTTCTGCTGGTCAAAAAGCCTTTGCAAAACTCTAGATTGTGGCTCTGGCCCTATCTGTGGGCAAGGTGAGGAAGAAAGAGGCAGATCCTGCGTGGGGGAGGTTGGCGGCTCAGCCATGGAGCCCAACATGGGAACTTATTGTCTAACGTGGGGAATGACAAACAGGGATGAAAGAGATGGAAGTAAGTGCAAAGAAGTCTGAGGAATCCAAGGAGGGGGAGCTCACTCTCAGACAGGGGTCAAAATGGGGATGTCAGGGAGGAAAGGACATCTGAGGAGGGAAGAGGGTTTCAGCCAGCAGAGATATGCTGGAGTCTGTTCAGGAAATAAAGGCTTGGCCTCTGGGAATACACTGAGGAAGGCGAAGACAGGGAAAGACCGAGGAGCAACCAGGAGCCCCATTTGTCTGGGATAGAGGCAGCAATGCATGCTTTTCATAAATTCCATTTATATACATTATGGGGTATACGTTGTGCAGCAAAGAAGGTCTGGCAGTCAGGACAGAGAATCAGGATCTGACTGTTGTTGTTGTTGGGTTTTTTTTTTTGACATATTTCTTATATGCAACAAATTATTGAGTTTTGTTTTCTTACCTATTCAGTCATTGGGAATCAGGATCTAAGTGGGCTTCCTGAGGCAATTGAGATGGCTTAGATCCTGAAGGCTAGGGAGGATTTGGATTGGGAGAAGTGGGGGGAGACCACCTCTTCATGGCATTGCATCAGGTCCTAGGATGTGGGGGCGGGGTGGGGAGGGAAGGAAGAAGGTGCCACATTGTATTGGAAGAGTCAGGTCTAATGATGCTGTAGGCTGGGGGACAAGATGTGAGTGGGTTCTGTCTCTGCCCTGACAGGTCCTATTCAGGGATGTGGGCAGCAAGGCGTGGGTGACTTCCGACAAGCTACACCCAATCATGGAGAAGACTGTCACCTTTGCCCAGCACCTAAAACACCTGGTCCAGCCCCACAGTCAGGTGGTTCGAGGGCCCCTGGGGATCATCCTGGGGAGGGGCATGGAAGACATAGGGAGAGGGGGCTCAGAAAGAAAAGACTGAAAGACAGAAGGCTCAGAAGGGGGAAAGAGTTATGGAGTTTTGAGGCTGATCTCCACTGTCCTATTTCTATCCCAGGAGTGTCTTCAGGAAATCCACTGCTATGTGATTCGGGAATACGTAGCCCACGTGCTGAGGCCGCGGGAACGGCTTCGAGGAGCAGATCGCGTGGCCAGCGCCCAGAAGATGAGCCAGGAAGCGGATGCCATTGACTCCACCTTTCACAGTCTGGTACCACTCAAGAGTTATCTCCTTTGGCTGGTGACGGGTTGGGGTTGGTACCGGGGTCGGAATATGTGGTTGTCCGGTCCTTTTCAGTCATGTCCGATCCTTTGTGACCCCATTTGGGGTTTTCTTGGCAAAGATACTGGAGGGGTTTGCCACTGCCTTCTCCCGCAGATCCATTTTGTCAGGCAATCAGAGTTTAAATGACTTGCCCAGGGGTCACACAGCTGGTAAGTGTTTGAGGCTGGGTTCCTGCTTATTGCCTGTGTTGCCTTGGACGAATCATTTGCCCTGTCAAGGCCTTGGTTTTCTCCTCTGTAAGATGATCTCTGAGGTCCCTCTAAGTTCTAATATTCTACTGTGCATTGTGTTCTGTATCCGAAGGCCAGAGTTCCATCTTTGATATTCTATATTCTAAGCCACCCCCCAGCCCAACTCTGAAATGTTAGGTTCTCTTTTGTAACCCCTCCAGCTCTAAATCTTTTTTTTGTTTTGTTTTGTTTTGTTTTTTGGCTAGCCAATGGGGTTAAGTGACTTGCCCAGCATTACACAGCTTGTAAGTGTTATGTGTCTGAGGTCATATTTAAACTCAGGTCCTCCTGAATCCAGGGCTGGTGCTCTATCCACTGCGCCACCCAGCTGCCCCCAGCACTAAATCTTATGATACTAATAATCCTTTCTCCTGCCCCCATTCCCCTGCAGGTCCAGACATAACACCACTCAATGGAAGGAATCCCCCAGCTGAGTAGGGACAGCTTAGTGTCCTCCTCATACACAGAGATTGTACCTTTATGGGGTATCAGAGCTGGAGGGAACTTTAATATCATTAGAACACAAGATATTACAGCTGGGGGGCAGCTAGGTGGAGGAGTGGATAGAGCACCAGCCCTGGAGTCAGGAGGACCCGAGTTCAAATCCAGCCTTAGACACATAACACTCACTAGCTGTGTGACTCTGGGCAAGTCACTTAACCCCAATTGCCTCACTAAAATAAATAAATAAATAATATTACAGCTGGGAAGGATTGTAGAATACAGAACTTGAGAGGGGGGGAAGCACAGAACATAGAATAATCAGAGCTAGAAGGGACCTCAGAATCTTAGAATATCAGATGGGGAAGGGGCCTTAAAACATAGAATACGGACTGTCCCAGGCAGGTTTCACCTCAATAAATCTGATGAGCGGGCAACTTTAAGTTATTTAATACAACCCCATCATTCTACAGAGGAGGATGCAGAGGATCCTCCTCATACTCGCTTGCTTGTTTCAGTCACGTCCAACCCTTTGTGACCCCATTTGGGCTGTTCTTGGCAGAGATACTGGAGCAGTTTGCCATTTCCTTCTCCAGCTCATTTGACAGATGGCAAACAGGGTTAAGTGACTTGCCCAGGGTCACACAGCTACTAAGTGTCTGAAGCCAGATTTGAACTCAGGAAGATGAGTCTTCCTGACTCCAGGCCCAGCCCTTAATCCATTGTGCTACCTAGCTGCCCAATCTTCCTCATGCTCACCCCTTTCTCTTATATCTGGTTCCTTGTCTTCCCAGGGCTCAGAAGCCTCTTGGCTGGGTTTGGTCATCCCCTGCATCTCAGATATCCTGGGTGAGACCTACAAAGAGGACATTAGAAAACATATCGAAACCCTCATTAAGGGTTACCCGGACATCAGGTTAGTGCTGCCTGCATCTGGAGGCTCCCCCTAGGAGCATCCACAAACACTGAGACCCTGAGCTGGCATGCCTCCGGACATGAAGTTCTTTCACCCCTGCATGCAGAGCCCCCTGCATCTCAGCACTCTTTACCATCCAGTGCTTCCTTGATCCTTACACCAGTCCTTCCTGGGCAAGGCAGAGATGTTTATCCTCAGTTTTCCAGCCAAGGAAAGTTGGTGGTAGATCTAAAAGCAGGATTGAATAAGAGAAGGAACTCTGGATTTGGGGTCAGAAGATCTAGGTTTGAACTTTGGATTTGTAACTTTGTAGTTGTGTCACTTTGGACAAGTTCCTTTCCATCTCTGGACCTCAGCCTCCTCATCTGTGAATTGAAAAGAGTGATCTCTAAAGTCACTTCCAGCTCAAAGTCCCATAATGTTGTTATCTTCTAAATCAGGGCTCCTGACTTCCACCCCTGGCTCTTCCCTTTGCCCTGGGCAGCCTCACATGCAGGCAGACCTTGGAGGACAGTGGGTTAATAAAATCAGAACAGGAATATGGTAGCTGAAATCTAGTGTGCTTCCCCTTGAACTTTAGAGGTTCATTATCAGGGAGTGATCAAGTCCCAGCGTGGCCAGGCCTGTCCCTGGAGAGACATACATCTCCCAGATTGGCACCTCTTTGTTCTAAGGAGGGAGGCAACTTCTGGTCTAGAGACAGGGTGGAACCTCTCCTCATCTCCAGAAAAGAAAAGAAAAAAAAGCCCGCTCCACATTTCAGTTGAACAATCCCCAAACACGAAGGCACATTATCTCTCTGAGGAAGTTCTTCTTGCCCTCCTTCCCATGGCTCTTCTGTCTCCTGACAGCCCCCTAGTCTGAAGGGAGTGCCATGGTCCTAGCTTTAGCAAAGTCCCTGGTCTTGGGAGTTGGGGGAGAAGACAAATGAAGAAATGAAGGTCCTGCCTTCAGGGAGTACCCAGACTGAGGGGAATTCACAGCCTCTGATCAAAGGGAGGAAAGAGGCTCTACCCTTAGAAACAATGAAACCTCTCAATCTACTATACTCAAGCATAGAATGTTAGAATTATGAGAAACCTCAGCGATCATCTATAGGCCTTCCCTCTTATTTTATAGATGGGGAGACTGAAGCCTAGACGGGGGGACTTGCCCATAGTCACCTAGCTGTATTACCCTGAACAAGTCGCTTAACTACTATATGCCTCAGTTTCCACATTTATAAAATGGGCATAAAAATAGCACCTAATTCCCAAGATAGTTGTAAGGATAAAATGAGATAATATTTATAAAACACGTTGCAAACTTCTAAAAGTGGCATGTACACAGTAGTTATTGTTGTTGTTAACATGGCGGGACCTGGAACCTGGTCTTCTGATGACATATTCAGGGCTCTTGTCATTATGTTTGTTGTGCTTCCTCTTCTATGTCCTTCTTTCCTTTGCTTATGGGTTGGACAATGCTCCATCCAGAGAGACAAAGTCAACAGAAGATCCCACCTTGGGCAAGTCAGGCTTTCTCTCTTGGCCTCAGTTTCCCCCTCTGAAAAATGGGGGTGTGAGGTGGTGACTGGATGGATTTGAAGCTTTCTTCCAACTTTGATATGCTATGAGTATAAGATTCCACAGGACATTAAGAGTGGTTCAGGATATTTGGACTGTCGCTATTCTGAGAGGATGAAGTCAGGAAACTCAGTTTGATCTTCCTCAAACCTCCTCTTCTGCCACTGTAGAGGTATGATCCAGCCTGAAGTGCCCAACGGGATATCTTTATGCCTAACAGAACCCCAGAGCTGGGGAGGACCTCTGAGTAAATATGTCTAGTTCAATCTCTCCAACCCCAGCCTCACCTCCATAGAAATCCCTCATATCGCCTTCCTGATTGCGTGTCATCAAGCCTCGGCTACAATATAGGGAGCTTATTCTCTACCAAGTTAGCCGGTTCCAGCTCTGATTAATTGGGAAATTTTTCCTTGTACTGAGCCAAAATCTGCCTCCTTATAATTCCACCTGCCCCCACTCTCCTTGTTTCTAGTTTTACCTTCTGGAGGCCTGATGAACAAATGTATTCCTGTCTCCACATAATAATTCTCCATGTACTTAATAATAACAAACACTAATCCGTTGGAGAAGGAGATGGCAAAGCACTTCAGTGTCTTTGCCAAGAAAACCCCATGGACAGCATGGTCCGTGAGGTCCCGAAGAGTTGGACAAGACTGAAAAACAACAAGCATTAATACAGGGCTTTAAAGTTTGTTTGCACTAACTATACCTCCCAGGATTTCAGTAAATAAAATTGTAGACCATTAGGAAGGCAGGAAACAAGCATTTATTAAGCACCTACTATGTACCAGGCACTGGGCTAAGCAGTTTACAAATATGATTTTATTTGCTCCTCCCAACAACTCTGTGATATAGGTTATTATTATCGCCCCCATTTTACAGATAAGGAAACTGAGGCTGAGAGATTAAGTGATTTGGCCAGGGTCACATAGCCAGAAATTATCTAAAGCAGAATTTGAACTCAGGTCTTGACTCCAAGTCACTCTATTCACTGTGCCACCCAGATGTTGTTGTTGTTCAGTTGTTTCAGGTGTATTTGACTCTTTATGACCACATCTGGGATTTTCTTGGCAAGAGGAATGGTTTGCCATTTCCTCTTCCAGCTCATTTTACAGATGAGGAAACTGAGGCTGAGATTAAGTGACTTGCCCAGGGTCACACATCTTGTAAAGGCCATATTTGGACTCAGGGTGATGAGTGTTCATGACTCCAGGCCCGAGCACTCTATTCTTAGCTGCCTGATGCTTAAAGACAATAACTAGGGGCAGCTAGGTGGCATAGTGGATAGAGCACCAGCCTTGGAGTCAGGAGGACCCGAGTTGAAATCTGGCCTCAGACATATAACACTTAATAGCTGTGTGACCCTGGGCAAGTCACTTAACCCCACTGCCTAGCCAAAAAAAGACAAAAAAAGACAATAACTATATTACTCCTAAACCTTCCCTTCTCTAGGTTGAACAATTTCAGTTCCTCTCCATACCCCCAGCCCATCTTGGTTGTCTTCTTTTAGATTCAATCTAGCTTGCCACAATATGCTTCCTAAAATGTGGTGCCCAAAACTTCATACAAGACTCCAGATGGGTTTGGACCAGGGCAGAGCTCAGGAGTACTCTCATATCCCTTATTCTGTTTGGTCCAGACCAATGATTTCATCACTGTGTCAAATGAGGCACTATTTGTGACTAAGTCAAGCACTTAAATATTTGAATAATTATTGTCTCCCTCCATGCCTTCCTTCTTTAGGGAGTAGTCCCTCAGGAAGGCCCCTCTACCACTGCAGATCTGCAGCTTACCATCTCAGAGCATTGCCTGGTTAAGTAACCTATGCAACATCATAGAGCCAGGACGTATTAAAAGGAGGACTTGAACCAGGTCATCCTAACCAGGAGCCTGGCTCTCTATCCAAGAAGCCACAGTGCTTTTCCTACAAAGGGTGTTCCTACCAATGCAGTCTGAAACCATAGCTCTTCAGAGCACCATGCCCCACTGCTGCCTCATATTTAGCATGCAGGCCACTCAAACCACAAATGCTTTTTCCATGACCTGTTGTCTGGCCACACCTTCTCCCTCGTGTATTTGTGCAATCAATTCTTTGAAACCCAGTAGAAGACTTTGCAGTATCTCAGTGAGGTTGCATCTTATTAGATTTGCCCCTCATTCTTACCTGTGAAGGTATTTTTGCATCTTGACTTGAATCTAAGAGTTCGTCAGCCCTCCTAGGGAAGCAGCTAGGTGACACAGGAGGTAAAGTGCTGAGCCTGGAGTCACGAGCACCTGAGTTAAAATGTGGCCTCAGATACTTACTAGCTGTGGGACCCTGGACAGGTCACTTAACCTCTGTTTGCCTCAATTTCCTCAGGGAAATGGGGATAATAATAGTGTCTACTCTCCAAGATTGTTGTAATCATTAAATGTCATAATATTTGTAAAACACCTAGCATGCTGTCAGGCATATTTCAGTTGTTTTTCAGTCATGTCTGACTCTTCATGATGCCATTTAGAGTTTTTTTTTTTTGACAAAGACAGATACTGAAGTGGTTTGCTATTGACTGATGAGGAGCTGAGGCAAACAGAGTGTCTTAGGTCAAATATGAACTTCAAGAAAATGAGTGTTCCTGACTTTAGGCCCAGCCCTCCATCCACTGTACCACCTAGCTGCCCATCAGGCACATAGCAGGCATTTAATAAATACCTTCCTCCTAGCCTTGTGTCATTTGTAAACTTGGTTATCAGGTGGTATATACTTTGGTTTATGTTAAAACTTCCACTGTTACTGTTGGGGAGCAAAGCCTATATCTGTCAAAATCTTCTACTTGCTTCTCTTCCCACCTCAGTCATTAAATAAACATTAAGCACCTACTTTGTGCCAGGCACTGGAGATACAAAGAAAGGCAAAAGACAGTCCCTCCTCTCAAAGAGCTCCCAGTCTAATGGGGAAGACAAGAAGTAAACAACTATGTGCAAAGAAGCTATATGCAGGATAAACTAGAAATAATCAATTCAGTTCAATAGTTATTAAGCTCCTACTATGTGTCGGGCATTGTGCTAAGCGCTGGGGATACAAATAAGAAAAAGAAAGTCCTTGCCCTCAAAGAGTTTATAATCTAATGAGAGAAGACAAGAAGAAACTGGAAATCCAGATAGAGGGGATCTAATCTTAGAGGGAAGGCATTAGCATTAAGGGAGATCAGTAAAATGAGGGACTAGAAGATCTGAAAAGTTCTTTCCAGCTCAAAATCCCATGATCCCACGACTTGCTTCTGTTCACTGGGATGGTCTCTCTGCAGGCAGGAGCACGTGGCTGCCATTTTGGCCCTTAGGAAGCTGGGCCGAAGACGAAACCAGCTTCTCCTTCGCCATGCCCAGGCCCTGCTGAAGAAGGCACCAAAGACTCTCCCAGGCCAGGGACTCTTTGAGGAGATCGATGTACCTGCATCTGTGGAAGTGCTCCTCACCTGCATTTAGAAAGCAGCATGGATGAGAGGAAAAGCAGGTCCTGTGGGGTCCCTCACTCAGTATTCTTAAAGATGAAAGGATGAGAGATCTCCTTGGAGTGGATTCTTCATGGAGTTGAGGACCCCAGGACTGGGGAAAGGGACAGAGGGATTCCAGAAAGCACAGATGTCCCTCCCCCCAACCCCCCAAGAATAAGGGAAAGGTGTTAGTTCAGCAACCCTGGCCTCCCCTTCTTGACTTCCTTATCTCTCCATTCCGATGTCCCCCTCTACTTCCCCCAGATAGCATATCCAACCAGTCACCAGATTCCCCTCTCCTGTTCCTAAGCCCCTGGTTCCACCTATTTCTAAGAAATTAAGAGATAAACATATTCCCTCTCAAGTGGGAAAGACTATGTATGCTTCTTTCCCAAAAAAGGAGTTCATTCCTTTAAACAGGAGCCAGGGGAGAGCAATGCTGACCCCAGACATGGGAAACACAAATAGCGGAATTCTAAGAAGACAAAATACAATAGAACATTTTTCAAGTGCCCTCTATATAGAGGAAAAACAGAGACCCGGGAGATAGAAAGTTTAGATAAAATCATGTCCCCACCCTTGTGGTACTCAATCTAGTACTGAATTATATATAGACACAGAGAACTACACAGGTAACTAATTCAATATTCATTAAACCATGCTGTGAACTCTCCTGAGTACTGGGGGAGATAAAAAGTTTAGCTAAGATGAGGTCCTTGACTTTATGAAGCTCATATTCTAGGGAAGATGCCATAAGAAGCTATAATATCCAAAATTACCTGAGTAATATTGTTATGTATTACATGCAGTCCAATATAGGAAGTTCAGTCCCGACTGGGGTGAAACCAGGGACCTGGGTTGAGACCAGGAGATTCCTTCCCCTGAATGTAAGCCGAGCTCTGACAGGGAGGACTAGAAAGAGAACCCCAGTTAGGATGCCTATGGGTCCAACCAGTCATGCTTAAAGCTCCTGGGGCTCAGGAGTTTGGGAGGGGTAGATATGATATGAATGTCTGAATCATCCATCCCTCTAGGAAGCAGAGGACTCTTCCCAGTTATGACATAGTGACCAACTCCATGGTGAGCCCACCTTCACATGCTAAATGTTCTATATTTATTTTTAAAAATAAAATTGTATTAGATGAGAATTCTTTGAAAAAACTGGTGACTAGAGAGGCAGAATGGTGATGTGGAGTTAGGAAAGACCTGGGTTCAAGTTCTGCACTCCCTCAAGCCTCTTCCTTACTCTGGCATACAGAGACAGTTCAATTTCCCTATCATCTATGAATGTTAAACCTCCGTGGTTCAGAACTTTAATATTCCTCTCTTAGCCTATTACTTCTTATCCTTCCCTCTCAATCTCTATCTCACTTCTCCTAAACCTATTCTTCCTAATCCTGATCTCTAGTCATACCACTTAACCTCACCCACTTTCCTAGTCTATCACTCCTCTTCTGGCATAACATTCCTCCCTTCAAAATCTTGACCCTATAATAGTCAACAACTTCAATTACACACTAGGAAAGTCTACCCTTGACTCCCTCGCCCCCTTCTCCCATCTTTGCCTGTGCCTTTCCAAAGCCCACTCTGGGTTATCCCCATCATCTTGCCTTCTCTAAAGCACTGTTGGAAAAAGTTACATGATATTGCTGAATCCACTACAAATGAAAACCAGCTGATCGATCTTGACAGGGCTCTAACCACTATGTGGCAATGCTTTTGCTCTTCCCTGACTGACTCTCTATTGAATCCCTCACAGAACCTGTGACTCTCTCCTTAAGCCAGCTCCACTTCTATCCCCATCTAACTCATATTCTATAGAGGAAATAGAGATAATCCATCTCAAGCTCCTATTTCTCTCAATTCTATTCTTCAAATCCTCTTTTTCTTCTCTTTTGTTTCCATTTCTGAGGAAGACGTTAACTTTTTCCTTGCCAAGCCCACCTCTCCTAGTTGTGGCCATCCCTCTACCCCCACATCCAGGTCTCCTCCAGTAGTTTGCCCCATCACCTTTTTTCTTTCTCTAATTTTCAATCTCCTCTGCTGCCTGACACATCCCCAGATTGCTTCCATTCTTTAGACACCCACATTTGAATCTCTTACCCTCAAACTATCATTTTATATTTCCTCCTCCTTCCCCTCCCACCCTATTCACAAACACCTTGAAAACCCATCTATGTTCTGCCTCACCTTTCTCACTTCTTCCTTTGCAATGGGGTTTCCAACCTCCCATTTAAATAAAACTTCTCTCTCCATAGTCACTAAAGATCTCTTAGCTGTTCTTTACAATTCTTCTTGACTTTTTATCTTTTAACATGGTTGACCACCATCTCCTAGAGCCTCTCTCTTCCCCAGGCTCTTGGGACATCACTCTCTCCTGGTTCTCCTTTACCTCTCTGATTGATCCTTCTCAGGGTGCTTCAGAGGATAGTCATCCATATTCTGTCCCCCCAATTGTAGCTAAGTCCTGAGGGAGCTCTTTGTTTCTCTCTGTCCCTGTCTCTCTCATCAATCTATGGGCTCAGTTATCTTTATCCAAATAACTCCTGAATCTACATTTCTAACCTTCAGCTCTACTCTGTACTCAAATTCTGCACCTCTGGCTGCCTGTTGGACATGTCCAAATGGATGACCCAAACTGAGTATATCCCAAACTGAACTCATTATCTTTTCCTGAATCTATATACTTCTTCCAAACTTCCTCCTTTGTGTCAAGGGCATTTTCATCCTTCCAGTCATCAGATCTGTGACCTTAGGGTCATCATCAATTCTTCACTCTCCATCACCCTCCATCCAGATAGTTGTCACCTCCACATTTCTACCTTCATAACAAGTCTCTCTAATCTGTCCCTTTCTCCCCATTTACACAGCCACCACCTTAGTTCATGCCTTGATCCCCTCTCACCTAGACTAGTCAATTCAATAAGCATTTAATAAAGGTACCACTCACGTGCCAGGCAGTGGGGATATGACAACAAAAACCTCAATGAGTTTACTTTTGATGGGGTGGAGCAGGAGGAGAAGTGAAGAACATCTAGACAGCTAAAAAAAATGCATGGTATATGCAACATGTACACACAGTTGTTTTGGGGGGAAGGGCACTAGCAACTAGGGAGATCCTGAGAGGCTTCCTATAAGCCACTCACACTTAATTTGAATTTTGAAAGAAACTAAGCATTCCACACGGCAGAGGGGAGAACGGAGTATATTCCAAGCATGGGAGACCTTTGCGAAGGCGTGGTGATAAGATACTGAATATATTAGAATACATACAGTACAAAGCAGGGACTGCCTTGCCTTTCTGTTTGGATCCTCAGCATTTCGTACAGTATTTTGTACACAGTAAGCACTTAATAAATGCCTCATTCATTCATTCGCGTATGTACATGGAACAGCATTTTAATAGCCACCTCCCCCAAACTAGTCTCCCTGATTCCAGTCTCTCTCCTCTTAATTCTGTCCACCCAACTGCTGAACCGATATTCCTCTTTTTGGGGGGGGGGCGGGGGAGTGGAGGCAATTGGGATTAAGTGACTTTCCCAGGGTCACACAGCTACTTAAGTGTCTGCGGCCACATTTGAATTCCGGTCTTCCTGATCTGATTCCTGGGCTGGTGCCCTATCTGCTGCACCACCTAGCTGCCCCACATGGATATTCCTAAAGCGCAGGTTTGCTTCTATTATTCCTCACCTCCAGAAGCTTCAGTGATTCTCTGTTGTCCCTCAGATAAGATAAAACTCTCTTTGGCGTTTAACTACAACTCTTTACAGTCTGGCTTCAACCTGCCTTTCCTGGTTTATTTTATGTTATTCTCCCGATGCACTCTATATCCCAGACAAACTACCCTGCTTGCTGTTACTTCCCTGACTTGGATCGAGGAGCCTCGTTGGGGAAGAATAGGGAAATTCTGAGAAAAGGCTCCAGGGCCCCAGGCTATTTAACCTGGAGCTGAGCCTGGAGCTAGAGAAACGGGGGAAGGTGCCTGGGCCTGTTGTCCCAGGACTAGAGATCTGCGGCTCTCTCTGTCCCCAAGAGGGCATAGAGCGTTAGTGGGACACAGCCCCTGATCCTGGAAAAGAAAGAGCTAAGAGCTACAGCAAAGGGGACCCGAGTAACATTTTCTCACAACGGAAGTTGTTCAGCAAAGGATGGCTGACTAAGAGAGGGTGAAGAGAGCATCTGGGTCCTTACTCTTCCATACTAACCAAGATTATGTATGTAAAATGCCTTGCAAACCATCAAGCTGTATAAAAGTCAGCTATTATTACTCCTCTGGCCCGCTCTCCCATCTACTTCCCCGTGAGGAAACAGCATTGCCCAGCAGAGCGTGGCTACACGGGCTGCCCCCAGCAGTCACTCCCCCAAAGCCCTGGGCTGGGTTACTGGGAAACACAGGCTTCATTTGCATTGGCAAAGGAAAGTGCTTCCAGCAGGCATGCAAGGAAACCCACACACCTTCACCCCGGAGGGGAAGCTGGCCCCTGCCTCGAAGTTGATTTTCCCACTACCAACATCTCAAATCTGGGAAAAGGGGGAGGGGGTTGCGGGAACTAGAGCTGAGCTACATCCTGCTATTAAGCCCAGGGGCCCTGGTGCCCTCTGCATCTAACTGGAGAATGGCAGGAAGGGGCAGGGAACCTATACCACCCCCAGCCTCGCACGTCCGGCCCAGCCCCTTCTTTCAGAGATTGGGGGGCAGCTGGTAGGGGAAGTGATGATATACTCCTTTGAGGATCACATATTTCAGGCACCACCAGTATCCTCCCCTCCTCCCCTCTCTCTACCCACTCCCCCCTCAACTCGAAGTCTTAGGGGTCCTTTCAGCTCTGACATGATGCACCTAAAGACTTATAGGGAAGTTGGGTTGGGTCAGAGGTTGGAGAAGGGAGCCAGACTCCTGTAGCTTCTTTAGGGAAGGAAAGCCCCAAACTCCCCCTACCCTCACCCCTGCCTACCCCAATGGACCATCAGCACTGTTAATCATTAAGTTTTAAGAGCCACTGAGGCTCTCGTGGAAGAAAGGGGGAGAGATAAGGGCTGGGAAAACAGAGACAAGGAAATGGGGACTTAGCAAGAGGAGAGACGAACTGAGTGTGGACAAGAAGTTAATGATTGCATGCATTCACTAACACTTCATCTACTGTGTCTCCTGCAGTGTGTAGCCTGGGACTCAGTTTTCTCATCTGTATCATATAGGAATTAGACTAGGCAGTCTCTTAAAGGTTTCTTCCCAGTTCTGACACTTTGTGTCTTATGTTCTAAGGGTCCTTCCTGCTCTGTGTTCTATGTTCTGGGTCAGCTCTAGCCTCCTACTCACCGTAACCCAGGGAGGGAATCATTGCTCTTCCTCCCTTGTCCAAGACCTGGAAATAGAGTCTCATTGTCAGAAAGATCAAGTCCAGCCTCCTAATACTGACCTCCTAGAATCTAGCCCCTGTTCTGGACTCATCCCACCCCCATCCCTCTAGCCTGGTTTATGCTTCCACTCCCTCCACCCCATACACACCTTCCCTACCTCCACCCACAGCAGGCTTATCCCTGAAGTCCTGTACACACACACACACACACACACACACACACACACACACACACACACACCCCCTTCTCTTGACCAATCCCAATGTTCCCCATCCCTTAGGACCCATTTCAGGTTCCTCCTCCTCCACAAAGCTTTCCCTGATGTGCAGTATACAGTGATCTCACCCTTCTCCAAGCTTTTACAGTGTTCACTGTCTCATTTAGGACCATAGATTTAGGATTATAGGGCCATAGATTATGAACAGGAAGGGGCCTACCTTCTACAGATGAGGAAATTGAGGCCCAGAGAGGATAAGTGATTTATTCAAGATCACACAGATAGTGGGAAGTAGAAAAGTCAGGATTCAAACCCTTGTCCTATGTTATGGTACCTAAAAAAACCTTCAAGACAATCACTAAAGTTCAAAGACATTTTACTTGCAAGGGGGCAGCCCTGAGAGAATCAGCATCTCTGAGCACAAACTCACTTTGGTTTTCCTACACTGCTCCTTCTATACAGAAAAATCTAGCAAAATCAAAGTGGAAATGCTCAAGATATTCCTTTGATTGTTTGACGCTCCAGTCCTTTTAATTGGTTATAACGAGGTATTTTGTCATAGCAAAATATTTT